CATAGGAGGAAGGAAATAAGCCACCAGCCGTTTGACAGGCCACAGACTCTATTATCCAGGGCCTTACAGGTCTTCATCCGCAAAGGGGTCAGTAACATGGGGTGCGGTATCAAGGAAAGCATATTGGACAGGAGAAGCTGATGCCCCCTGATTAGCAAGAGTACCAAGTGCGGCAAGACCCGTGGTGGGGGAGAACTCCGAAGACGGGCGATCAAGAAAAGCCCAAGACCTAGAAGAACTCGGGGAGCCGGAAGATTGGACACCATTGTTGGCCGCTGGGATAGGCTGAGCAATCTACCCAGGCATAAACCCCTCCCAAGAAATCATTCCCCAAGTGTCTTCGTTATGGGGAAACAGAGCAGGGAACGAGGCAGAGGGGACAGGAAGGACAGTATCCCCAGCTTCCATGAGATCTTCCGGGGTGGTTTGGATCATCATGTTGTCCACTTGATCAGCCTGAGTCATCATGCCAACTTGAGGAAACCCCGTGATCGAGTTGTTGACCAAAGAGTTTCGTGCCATAGTATCGAACTGGTTGGCCAAGACTGGTTGGGAAACCGGGGCAGAAGAGGCAGGATCGAAAGGATGGAGAGAAGTGTGACCAAGGGCAGACATGGGATGTTGGAATCTTGTGCCGAAAGAATTACCAACGACACCAGAGCCCAGGAAGGGAGCAGGAAAATGTGGATCTGGGACCGGCATGGGCATCTCAAACCCAAAATCCCAGGAGCCATCCATTCCAAAGGGGACAACAGAGGCAGCATGGCCAGGAGCAGTAAGAGGGAAATCGGGGACAGAAGGGGCAGAAACAGGGAGAGGGACAGCGGGAGTAGGAGAGGCAGGAGCGTATCCCACGCCAGGATAATATGGCTGCTCTAAGAGACGCCGGATGGGCTCAGGTATGCCAGGAGGAAGGGGATCAGGAGGGAAACTAGAACGCCGGGGAAAAGAAGGGGCAGGAGCATGAGGGTTTGCAAGGCTCCCAAGGTTCTGGTACCCGGGGACAGGAAGCTGCGGGTACCCAGCAGCGAAGTTACCTTGCACAGGGTCAGAGGCGGCGCGTTGAAGACAAAAGGCGTGCGCCTCTCGTCGAAAGGCTGCAGCTTCTTCCTCCAGCTCCTTTTCCACTTGGCGTTTCCTCTTCTTTTCCCGTCGCTCAGCGGCCCTGGCTGGGTCGTTCTTGGACCCCTCTGGACGACCAGCACGGCGAATCACCTGCACGTCATCTGTAAAGTTTGTTAGCGATGATTCGTTTACGGAGTTTGTGCCCTAAGGGAGGGCGTGTGCTTACCTTGGTGGCCTGGGGCGTCAATACATGTGGATGTTCGGTGCCCGTCACGGCACTTGGAACATGCAATCTTGTCACCTTGCTCGTCGATTCTCATTGTAGCTGGAGCTATGTTGGATGCAAGAGTGCAAAGGTAGGAAGGAGTATGACCTTTTGATGTTTATTACCGTGGTAAGTGTAACTTGTCGAAAGTTGGACTTGTTTGTCGAATGTGATTAAGTGAAAAGAATGAAGAAAAGAAGACAGAGAAAATAATATGGGATTTTATAGAAGCAAAGAGTAGTAGAAGCTCAAGACATGAGATTCTAAAGAGTACAGTATGAAAGCTTGTCAAATCGTGAGTACACTCCGACGAATGAAGTGATGGAATTCACGAGAGCTTCATTTTGACATCTTGAGGCTAAGGCACATATTTCCTGTCAGAATTTCATTATACTGTGTATTCAAACTGCCTTTCGTCCGGTCTTCGACTCTGATGGAAGGTAATCACGTAGAATCACGGAGTGTTCACTCAAATGGCCTGGTTTGATTCGCCATGAGGGGATGTTCAATGTACTATTCTCTAAAAATAGAGGCACAAGTGAAAAGCATCTTGATGATAAAGATTGAAGAGGCAAAGGCAGTACAAAGTAAACTCACAACTCTTGGACGTGAATTGTGCGCGATTCCTGCTCCCCTGGGTCTCCCCTTTTCATCCACTTACTCGATAAGCTGACTAGCATGGTAGTCTCCTCTATTTTGGGAATCGTTTGAATCCCATAAAAGATATGTTTATTTTAACTGGAACAGCTGGCCACGTCCAGTGCATCTGTGGACTCCCTCCTTGCCGTGCCTGGAAGATGCTCGCTCAGAACGATATTGCCCAATTGGGTGGTACGCAACTATGATTATGCATTAGCACTAGTTGATCTGAGTTTCAAATCAGCAGCACAGTCCGTGAAAAGCTTATATCAAAAGTCACATCTATGCCAATGGCCTCAGGCCGTTGCCCTTTCCGTAGCATTTGATGCCTCATGTTCAGGTCTCGGCTAATTTGTTCCATTCACAAATGATTTTGTGGTCACTTTGGATGTGATTTTTCACTTGTTGTGAAGCTTTGGTGCGTTCGGGCCTTGGGTCAGTCTCAGGCCGCCATTTGTTTGCACGGTGGCGGGCACAATGCCCAAATTCTAGAAACACCCCCGGAGCCGGAGTGGTGAGGGACTGTTGAAGGCCCAGCTTGGCCAAGTCACGATTGACAAGTTCAAGATCCCTGGCCAGGATCCATGGGGAATTCCTTTCTCCAATTCAAGTGACGAGGTTCGTCTCTTAACGACACAGAGTACCAAGGGATAGAATAAGGAACATTATTTTTTATATCAAAATCTATCCCATTTTCATAATAGACATGGTAGCAAGGGCTTCTTACAGATCATCTATGGCCTAACTATGTTATGAGAACATTGGTTCCTGAGAGAGCTGAGGCAACCATTACGCTGTACTTAAACGGCCATCCTGGAAATTGTCCTGTTTTCTCTCATACCCACTCACGATCGTTGACTTCTGTACCATGTTTTGCCTGGCTGTCAGGGAAATCACAGTCTCAGGGGCGCTCAATCGTGAAGCCTCGCTGAGATAAGAAGCAACACAGACACCTTTGTGGTGAGCCCTCAAAAAAGGGCTCAAGGAGGGTGCTGCCCTGTTCCATTACATCGACATTTTGCATTCATTAGCACTAACCTAAAAAGAGGGACCATGTACTGCGAGGTTCCTTTTCCTTCTATTATGCTCGATTCCTTTCTCTCCTGAGGTTTACACGCTCCGTGTTATGATTTAACCTTGATTCACATGTTCCAAATATCTTTTTGCTTGCACACTCCGATTCAACTTTGAAGTTGGGTTGGCTGATGGCTTGGAGAGACTCAGCGTGCAGTTTGGTTCGAGCTGTGGTTCATATGGATGTAGTTGGCTGGGAGAAACTCAATCGGACAGGTTCAAACTTCATCGTGGGGCTCCACGTATTTTCTCCAGTCACAGAGGGGCAAAACCTTAATTCATCTGTGTCGACTGCCTAAAGTGTAAACATCAAGCCTAATCCTGTGCATTACGAGACCTGCCATCCCCAATCCTAACCCTTCATTACTGATTACCTATCTATACAAGAATTGTGCAAATACGTAGAGTTGTTCCGAGCCAGAACTTTACATAACGAGGGCAGCAGCAACACCGGCCAGAGACAGAGCACCAAACACACGCGTGAAAGAAGACGAGGCACCAGATGTGTTAACGGGCGTAGCTTCACCAGATGTCTGAGATCCACTAGCATCGCTTCCCGAAGCCTTAGTCTTGGTGGCGTCGCTAGCAGTTGCAGTGGCGCTCGCGTGTTTAGCGTTGAGTAGTTCCTGACCAGCAGTGATAGAAACAGCACCGTAATCGAATGTTCTAAACCCGTAATCCTCAAGATCTTCAGTGTTGGTGAGAGTCGCGGTGGGATGGCCATCATCGTTGCCGCCAACGTTGATAGTGGTGCACTTTTGCGCGACGGTACGCGACATTTCGCAGTGCACGGAGAATCTCCAGTCATCCTCCTTGTCGCCGGGCATGGTGATGAAGAGATCAAAGTCGCCTGTGCTGGCGGCACCAGGGGGAAGGGTCTTGCTCATGTAGGGTCCAATGATGTACGTGTTGTTGTAGACACCGCAGTCGTCCATGGTATGGAACTCTTCGCTCTCGGGGTCAACGTAGGGGCAGTTGAGAACGTATGTTGTATGATCCGCGTCTGCGCCGAGGACTTCGGCGACGAGAGTCGTTGACGCGCCCGCCCCGGCAAAGATGGGGAGAGAGGTGACGAGAGCAGAAGACATTTTGAATACTGATAACGAGTGTATGAAGTCAAGTATTTTGTGGCTGAAAATGAGCGAATGAATGAACGAAGAGATGTTGAAGAAGGGAAAATCACGGTGGGAAATTGGGAAAGGAGAGGGAACAAAATGGGAATAGCGATAGGGGACTAGCCAGGCAGGAGCCCAATCATTCAGTGGGTTAACCTCGATGGAGCTAGGCCCCCCGTAGCGAGATTTACAGGACATCCACTAAAGGCGGCCAATTAAATGACCCAGATTTGATCAACGCCGGGGATGATGCCCCGTAGGGCAGCGCATGAAATGGTGAGTGTTTCACTATTGATAGGAACAGAGTTTGGTGTTTGAACGCTGGATCCAATGGACTTACACCGACATGGCTGTTGATAAACCTTCAACCCCATCATACGGCCATTTCCTGGGGGACACAAAGTTCCGGAGAGATCCAGTGACTTAACTAAATTCGTTGTAATTTAGTGATGACATTTGAGAAAGCGGTATGCGCAGAAACAAAGAACCGCGCTGAGGGTTCTGAGTATGAAGGAAATTTCAGTAACGAGAAGGCGCGATAAGCTTATTTAGGCGGGGGAAGATGAACTGCGTTAAGATAAGACAAAATTGGATACCTGAAGATGATTGGAGCTCCAGTTGAAGAGCAGATCCGAGCTTCAGCGTCCGGTGAATCGCGATCATCCATGAACAACTGACTGGGTCACGGCTGATTTCGATCATAGGCCGAATTCTGAAACATATTCTTATCAAACTTGATCGGTCTGGTGGTCTAGTGGTATGATTCTCGCTTAGGGAAAACCCTATAGCTTAGCTTGCGAGAGGTCCCGGGTTCAATCCCCGGCCAGACCCTATTCTTTTGCTTTTTTATTTAAATAGAAATTGCCCGTCTCTTTTTGTCTGAACTGTCTCGTCTTTCCGTCCGTCTGATTCTATCCACTTGAAAATTCGTAACACTATACATAGTGTTCCCTATTTCTTGTCCTGCGATTTAAACTCTCGTTATTTCGGTTCATGCCGATATGGCCTATATATCCACGCTCTTCGCCATATCCTCCCATTCCTGGCAAATTTCCAGTGTCTCCTCGCACTTGGTCTTCACTCTCGACCAACTATCCGAACCCAAAGGCACCCTCAAAGGCACCTCCTTGCCCTCTGCAAAACCTGTTCCCCTAACTAGCTCAATCATCCTAGCAACAGCCTTCTCGGGATCTCCCGGCGAACTTTCCGTCAAAGTCGCCTCAGCCTGTCTTACTGCTTCATTAAACTGAGCATACTCTGGAACACGAGCCTCGACATGCTGGATCTTGTTGAAAACCGGGGTGCGGCAGTATCCTGGCTCGACGATGAGGACTTTCAGACCTCGAGCGAAGATGGCGAGTTCTTTGGATAGACACTCGACGGCGCCTGAGGGTGTTAGTCGGTCAAGGTTTGGAGAGCGGAAAGCTCAAGTTGACTTACCTTCTAGAGCGTACTTGCTAGCGCAGTATCCTGATGCACTGGGATCAGCGTGCCATCCAGCTTGAGATCCGACGAAAAGCAAAGTTCCGGATCCCTTCTTCCTCAAGTACGGCAAGACGGCGCGGGTGATATTCATAGGTCCGTGAAAGTTGACCTGGAATGACTTTTCCATATCTTCTTGACTATTCTATCATCAGCTGCTTTCATGATAGCTTACAATCCATGTTACTCACGTCAGCTCTTCTACTGCCCCACTGAGGATATACCCCGCGTTGTTGACGACAACATCGATTCCATTGTAGATACTCCAAGCCTCCTCGACCTTGGACTTGATGTCCTCGGGAGAGGATGAAACATCGAGGTCTAGAATAGCTGCGCCAGTTTCTTTGAGGTGTGAGAGCTTTGTATCGGCGTTGCGACCAGTGGCTATGACGTTATCGCCTGCAGATCGAAGTTGACGAACGAGGGCTTCGCCGAACCCGCTGGAGCAGCCGGTGATGAACCAGGTTAACCCCATGATGTTAGAAGTATATGTCTTTGGCTTTCAAAGGATCGCAGAGCAATCTAACGATAAGAAGCGTAAGGATCACGTTTTATACTTGCGGTGAGAACCAGGTTCAGGATCCTCCGTAGTGGATTGAGTCAGCATCAGTGGGACCAGTCTGACAGCTAACGTTAGTTAATCGTGGCCATGTTGGCTCTTGTATGGCAGTGTCACCTGAACATGGTGGGATCAGTCCCTGGGTTATCGGCTGGTCCATTATTCTCAAATCACAATCAGGAATTAGATTATATCTGAGCTAGAGGTCCCTTTCAAGCAAAGAAACAGTTATCCGCCATTCTTATAGGTCCCCTTTGCTACTTGTTCCCCGTAAACCAAGTCGATGGCATCACCACGGGTTTACACCTTGAACTCCAATAACCTTCCCAACATCTTCATCTTTCTCACCCTTGATAACACGCGCGATTCGCTCCCCTCCCTCCGCCGGCTCAGCTGCTCCTCGCTGCTTGAGAGACTCGGCATCACTGGTGAAGTTTGTCGCACACAACCCCGGATCCGCCCCAAATACCAAGAAACCCTCTGATTTAAGCCGAATGTTGTACATTGTCATAAGCATGTTCAGTCCAGCTTTACTAGTCCGGTATTCCGTTGCACCAGCGCTATGAAGCGGAGATTCAGGGTTGGATGTATGGGTGATGGATCCAGTGCTTGAAGTGACAAAGATGAGACGAGGAGGTTTATGCTCCGACTTGCGAAGAAGAGGGAGAAACGCTTCGGTGACGCTTAGTGCACCAACGAGATTTGTCTCGAGAACCTTGCGGAAAGCTTCGCGCGTTGGAGGGCTAGCCATTGAGATGATACCAGCGTTGTTGACCAGAATATCCAATCTGCCCCATTCAGAGGCTAGAGTTTGAGCAGCAGCATCGACGGAGTTGTCATCCGTAACATCAATCTGGATGCTGGAGACTGTTCCTTTGATGTCGTCGAGTGACTGGAGCGACCGAGCTGCTATCTCCCCCTTGGCTTCATCTCGACTGCCAATAATGACATGGTATTTGACGGAAGATAGAACTAGATTCTTGGCTGTTTCGAAGCCGACGCCTTGATTGGCGCCTAGTTGGGTATCTCAATGGAGAGTCTGCGAAGCTGCGTGTGCATCAACTCACCGGTAATAAGGACCAGCTGCTTGTATTTGGACATATTGCATCAGATACTATATGAGCTTTGGTGGCAAATTTGAAGGTTCAAGGGGATATTTGACGAAACAAGTGGTATATGTAGCAGTGCACTTGTGCCATCTATTCATGTCGCTACTGACGGACTTAAGGCAAGCTCTAGCTTAAAATCCGCCCACGGACATCTCACATCGGAACGCCCGGAGATACCTCCACGGAGATATCAAGGTGAGCTTATTGGCCAATCGTATCTTTCTCCTCAGGGTTCAGCTCCTTCAGGATTTATTCAGACAGGATTTATCTTATCCTTTGGTGCTGGACGCATGGATAGTTGCCGTATCCCGAATTCAAGCCGCCATTTTGATGCATTTCATTCAAGGGATCTCTATGAGCGGTCACTTGAAAGGATTTGGGCGTTCATAGAATAGAAGGTTACATAGAATTTTGTGGGAAATCGAGGTCATTGAGAGAGTTTGAAATTTTGTGTACAGGTCTTGTTCCAAAGCCTTCGACTTGCATGCTTGACCAAGTAATATCTTCAAGTTCCTCACAGATCGTAACTAGGAATTAATATGTGAACTGTTCTTTATCGTTGCTATAATTCGTTACCATGCTCCATCTACCTTGCAGTCTTGCAGTAGAGTATCTCATGGAGACTGAAGTTGGCTGTAGCCATCAACTGTTATACCCTGAACTGTGTTCCGCAACATGTTCATTGCAGGGTGACCAAGTCTGACTCTTGATTGGATATGCAGCGGCCCGGCTTTCATCCGCTGGGAGGCTGAACCAATAGCGAAATTCTAGGAATGGTGCCTAACCAACATGCTCTCCCCTCATCATCAAATGTAGACCTTTCAAGATGCAAAGCTCGCCGCCTACGATCTTCGTTGACTCTCTCCCCAAGGGCTCTAGTGTTACATTCAAAGACTCTACGTTCTTCACACATAATGGGCCTGGGGCAACTTTTCCATCTGCTGATCAAGTTCGAGTCAAGAGTGAAGCTGGCGATCACGTCCTTGATAGAAAGAATACTGTTATCTTCGAGTCACTTGGTTTGGTCGTCAAATTTGGCAAAGAGCCTCGTGTCACTGTTGTGGAAGGCCAGTGCCTTTGGTGGTTACGTCGACATCTTCCAAGCGTCCCTGTGCCCGAGATGTACGGCTGGACCGAAGATGGAGGAGAAGTATTTTTGTATATGCAGTTGGTTGAAGGTGTGACCTTGGAGAATATATGGGAATTTTTGAATAAAGAGGATAAAACTGGGATTTGCGATCAATTGCGAGACATGGTAGTTGACCTACGTCAAGTAAAACGTAACTCAAATGATGAGTTTCTCGGTACGTGAGAGTACGACTGCCGTACAAATGATGATGCTGATCAGTCGTCAGGACAAATCAACCGCGGGCCGCTACAGGATGTTGTATTTGCCGATGGAATCCGACCAAGAGCAGGGACCATTCTCGTCCGTGAAAGGATTCCATGACTGGTTTTCTTTCTTGTTGAACCGGCTAGCTGCAAGTGGTTCCCACTGGGAAGGACATGAGCTCGAGGATATACCCGATCCGTATCGCCAGTTACTACATGACGATCCGGGAGTCGTTTTCACTCATGCTGATCTTCACCAGAGCAACATAATGGTCTCGGAAGGCTGGCCCTGTCGTATTGTCGCTATCATAGACTGGCACCAGTCGGGATGGTATCCAGACTACTGGGAGTTTTACAAGGCTGAGTATACCAACCACTGGGAATCCGAGTGGGTGCAGAAGTACATCCCGATGTTCTTGAACGAACCCAGAGAAACGTTTCTTGAGGGGATTAATAGCTACGCAGCCTCATGGGGTTCTATGTAGCCTCGAGAACAATTATTACCAGAAAGCGAAATGGGATTTAAGATTGGAAACAATCTCGTCAGAAAGACAATGGTACCGCACTTCTCGGGGGCTTCAGAGAGTACTTGACGCGACTGGTAAAAAGAATACCACGGTCTTAGGCCATTTAAAAAGGGCAAAAAACATACAACAGCGGGGATTCGCTGGTCGTCACCGACCCAACTACTGATCCGCCCCTTACAGGCTTGACTATGGGAGAGCGGACGGGATCCCGTATTTTCCTGCAGGTATGGTCGTATGTGCTTGGATGAGATCGAGATTGGGTATAAGTACGTTATTCAGACATGGCCTCACAGGAGGGTGTTGTCTTTTAATTAGTGGTTATATTAGATGCTCAAACAAGGTTCACTTTGTTATTATCTAAAGCACGTTGAAGTAGTTCACTATGTCATCTGTTATAACTAAAAGACAGCATCATAAGTAAGAATCTAGTTCACCTTGGAATCTGATTATCCTGCATCTGAAGTGGGAGCAGACGTGTTCCCTGCCATGTGTAGTGTCTAAGTTGTGAGCCAGATGTGTCATTTGCAGTCGAGACTTGCGGCTGAGAGCTTATATTAGCACGGAGAACTTAGTATTACCTGCAACAAATAGAGGCAACAACATACAGTTAAGATAAAGCATAGTTAATACCCGTTGCTACCTTATTTCATATATGCATCCTTGACTTGCCCCCACCCAATATTCAATGCTGGCTTCAAGAACGCTCTTATCCCTGTTTTGACAATCTGCGTATTTAGACCTGCCCAAGGATTAGTGGGCTTTGGTTCTAAAACTTGCCTAATCCTGGCGAACGCCCTTAGTTTGAAGCTGCCCTCGAACTTGTTAATGCCTGGTAGCTTGTTAGGTCCAGTGCTGCGCTTTAGGCTCCCCATCCTGTCGGTAGCTGCGCCGATAGCGCCGGCTATCGCAGCACCAGTAAGGAAGCTCTGGGCGGCGCCTTCAAAGAGGTCGTGGTGCGTGCCGTAGAAGACATTCTCAACTCCACGGTCGGCGGCTTGCTTGAGGACATTGCCAGCTCCGCCGGCAACGGCACGAACAGCAAGGCGAGCAGCGGCGCTGGCCATTCGGGCAGGGGCTGCTACAGCGCCTGCGGCTTGTACACTGGTGCGAGCTTTGGAACGCCTCCGTCCATTGTCCATAACAGCCAATCACCCATCCCATTTCCATTGAGATCAGCTGCCGTCACTTGGATATTATCGCCTGGAAGGTTTGAACCTATTTCATGGCAGGTCGCATTGCTCAATTGTCCGTCACTCCGACCGTCAACAGTTACACAAACATACGCCCGGGAGAACTTGGCACGGTAGACATAACTGAGACTGGGGTAGTTGGAGCCGTTGAGGTTTGTGACATGGAACTGTCCAAAGTCTGTACTTTTCATTGGAAGCGGCGCAATGACCTCTCTGGTAATGCTCGACAGTCTCGCCTTGAACGCCCCGTAGCCGTCTCCCAAGAAGGTCTTCACAGTCAGGTGCATACGGCTTTGCCTGTACTCTGCAGTGGTCAGGGCGCATGTGATAAAGCAGAAATGGGATGTAGAGAATAAGCGAGCCGTGAATCTCTGGCTACGGTTTCAGTATAATGAAGGAATTCCGACACCGCGTTGGATGCTCTCCAAATTGGCGTAAATGTGATAATTGCAATGGAACTGATCGGTCAATACAGGTAGATATGAAGACGTGCTCCATGCGCCACTCACTGAACACCATCGGCTCATAAACCCGGTGTCAAAGACCTCTTTCGTAGAGAACGTCAAGGTTCTTTACCAGTCTCGCCACTCCACTCATGCATCTATCAAGTTGATCTCGCAGATAGAAGGATTGCCCAGGTATTCACGAAGTTTATGATACGCCTGAGACTTATCCCCATGGAGAAACGCGTCGAACTGACACCCAGCCACGAATAATACTTTGTGGAGATCGCTGTGCCTTTCGAGTAGTTGAGATAGGGTGTCGGGGATTTTTTCTGCAGAGTCAAAGTCATGGCGGCGCCTGGCCTTCTGCCATTGTTGTTCGGTCCGAGGGATAGCTTTGTCCAGCTAAGCCCAATTATTGTTGTGATCTCTTTTACGCGGCTTTGATGGTGTTTTTTCTAGCCGGAACTTGAACTGGTCAAACATGCCGCTCATGCCGTGGAAAGTGCCTGATATGATGCGAAGGGAAAGTTGTTTACCCCCGAAAACAAGGCGGTCATAGCCCCCGCGTCGGGACTTGGCCAACAGGACATAACCTTCGGGGGTTGGGCAGGGGCCAAAGGTTGGTCTCCTCAGCCACAACGAGAGGCAAGACTATATCAATACGATTTCATTAAATTTTTTCCTTGAAAGGAAATAAGGACACTTTGTGTGAAATGCACGACCGGAATCAGATTGAGACCAGTTATGACGTGGATGGAAGACAGTATAAACCGAAGGCGGAAGTCATAATAGTAACGCGATGTTCATATATCTCCTCCGTGAAGTCATTGTTGAAGTCCAGGGTACTGGTGTTCCTGATGCACCAGCGCGACCTCGGCTGATGGGCGTCTTACTGAACTCAATTGGTATCCGTCGGCGGGTTTAGCTCAGTTGGGAGAGCGTCAGACTGAAGTTAAACTTCAATCAATTGATATCTGAAGGTCATGTGTTCGATCCACATAAACCGCAACTTCTTCTTTTTGCATGCGACTGCTCTCTTTCACTCTAGTTTTCACTCTAATTTTTTTTCGAATAGTTGAGCGTCGCTTTCGTAGTCACGTCGCTAGGTCTGTGGTTCCTTAGGTGAATGTTTCTTCTGTGAAATTGCTATACATATTTGATTCACTCAACTTCACATTGCGGTTACCAAAGTCCGTAAGACTCAACAAGTCCGAAGCTGTTTTATGCCAGAAGAATTGCAAAATATCGATGATACAAATTCGTTATGTAATACACATTCACCGTATTGAAGTAAATACGGGTCAGTGGCCTCGCCCTTAGCTTCTGCTCTCTGCTCAGTACTCCTCCCCCAACTCCTCGCTCTCAATCACATCATCAATCTTCATGAAACCCCATATCTTAAGATCTTATCCGAAAAGCATCAGTTGGCGCGCAACTTCTTCCAAAGCTTATGCATGCGCTCAGCTTGTCCAGGAGTAAACCTCTTGGGACCGCATTCACTGCACCTCGTTAGTCCTATCTCCAGTCTCGAGAAATAAACAACTTACGGCTCAACATAGTCCATGAAGTTATCAGTAGGATCAAAACCAGGCTTATCAGGACAGCTGTTGCGATCAGGTGGAGGGCACACTCCGTATTCCGGAGGCGACGCCTCATAAGGAGTATCATCAACATAGTCACCCGGCTCTTCGCAGCCATTCTCAAAGGTATGCTCCAGACCAAGCCAGTGCCCAACCTCATGAACGGTCACGAAGTTAAATTTGGGAGGTGCCTCGCCAGGGTTGTCGGGCCTCATGATGCAGCCATCGAAGAGGATATCGTCCTTGGTGGGGTTGGGAACTGGGAGCTCGCACTTTCCACCAGGGGGCATATCTGCGATGAAGAACAGATTAAGATCCTTGTAGGTTCCTTGCCTAAGTGCAGCTCGGAGCTCCTCTTCGGCTTCACCCCTCCCTGGACTGATGGGATAAGCCCAGTCATAATTGACGGTTCTGGTGGTGTTCATCAGCTTGAACGAGAAATTCCAGGGCTTGAACTTCTGGTTGAGAAGGTTCATCTGATCCTTGACTGTAGCTTGCTGGGAAGAGTTAGTACAGTAGCCGCAAAGGTTTCTTTGAGACGTACGCTAAGGTAGTTGTCTTCTTCCTTCTTGCTTGCTGCGAGGATATGGACGTAGGTCTTGACCTCTACATTCTTATGTTGTCCTCGGATTTCGAGATGCTCATTTGCAAGGTCCTTTGAAATAGCTTTCAAGCCGCTGCTGGACCCCGAGGTACCGCAGTCAAAGCCAGCGGCTGACACAGAGTTGGCCAAGAGGCCGAGAGCAAGAGCAGATTGAAGATGCATACTGAGTGAGTGAGGATAGACAACGCAGCGAATATCTCAAGATAAGAGGCGCTAAAGGTACCACATCTTGCTATTATATATATATATATGGGTTTTTCGTATTGCCAGATTGCGATTGAGACCTTCGAATCCTTTGCAATCCTTCACACACTGCGCCGCATTCGCCTATACTGGTCGGATCCTTGGCGGTACCCCTCACGAGGTCGAAACACGAGGTCGAACCATGTTAGCGTCACTTTAAAAACGATTGAATAGGAAATAAGAATCTTGTTCCAGGGGGTTTTGGAGACACAAGCAGGCTGACACCATCCCCATTGGCTGGTTGAACGCGTGAGGATCGCGGGGTTACGTGGACTTTCTCTGTCCTAGGCTGAGAATCAGGCAAAAGACAGACACTTGAAGGATTAGAATCGTAATACTCGGACTTTAATAACCCGTTTATCTTATGCGGTGAATAAAAGACTATTCTGAATCTGCTTAGGACGCGCGGTCTTTACATTGTCTGGCTGGTGCTGGCAGCAATCATGATTATAGGCTTCCACAATGAAGTGAGGAGCCAATGCGTGATAACGCAGTGCAACGGATAGGTGACAGAGCATGGTGGGTCTCGTATAGTTTGTTACAATAATGTATCGCCAGTAACTGGAAATGAGAGTTTACTGTCAAAATCTCAGCAAAGTGTCATTTTAGGCTAATACCCTTAGATGGCTGTTTACCAGGATCTTGAGCCTCTGAGGCAAGGCAAACTTACGACACTTGGCCGATGTGGATAGGTGAGACACGAGTTGCCCTACGATTCTATGTGGCATTGAGGGATACACGCCCTTCTATAATGTTTCTCGATCTGGATAGGCGAGTTTAAGGTTGAAGGTTAACCTTAAACTCTTAAGACCTGGAGACGAGTTTGGGACTTACCAGGGCGAGACTTGTTGGTAATTCACCAATATCGTATAATACCTTGTCCCCCATGTTACAAAAGATAAGGTTTCCCCCTACACAGCGGTAAGAAACGATATGTTTGCGAACATCATGTCATCACATGAGGCGAATTGTGCGTGATATCTCGGGGCAATACATCGAACTGGCGGTGCTGAGATGTCTGCTTTTGCGTTCAGGCCTGGAGCTTACTTCATCCCTCAGCCATATTGATGTAGTGGGTAGCTAATGTGGATTGAAGGTCAGGATTTGGATTCATGTGTACCACCACATAGGCCAATGGCAAGATTGCAAGAGTCATAGATAAAACTCCCTTTTCTATGCCATGCCTTGTGATAACAGTTTTAGCCTTTCGTGAAGGACATAAAACGAACCACGCCTACCTCGCTCTATGCTACACTGTTCACTCCAACAATAATCCTCCGAAGTACGCAGCACGTACTTAAGCGAACGTCCTATTCTCATCATGGATCCTTCCCAAGTATCCTCCGCAAACGGAGACTTGAAAAGATTCACGTGCTTTTCAAGGCTTCCTCTCGAGATTCGCGAAATGATATGGGAATGCCTAATCTCTGTACAACGACACCTGAGGATAGAAGGCCGCTTGGGAAAACTCACCAAGATTGGGTCTTTCTCAATATGTCGGGAGTTGTTTCTCTCTCAAGTCTGCTCTGAGAGTCGACAAGTCCTTTCTCGTATTATCGCGCACCAGACCGCGACAGATGGCGATGGGGCTTCCATTAATCGACATTTCGGCACTGTTCTTATTACAACATTTGATTCACCCGTACTGGAGATCTCTTCTTCCCTGACGACCGATATTGATTGTATTGCTATACCACGACCCGTTGGAGGAGAGTTGCAAAAGCTCCAGCTAGCTCTACAAAAGGGGGTAGCTGCTGGTAGTCGACAGATGAAATCCATCTACCTTGGGATTTCATCATACCTCCAGGACCAGTACTTACTCAGACCAGGGAATCACCCCATGACGCCATCCGCTGATTTCAAAGCCATGACCGACGACGATGATGTATTACTCCCAGGCCTTGATTATCAGAAATTATTCGTTACAGGCAACAGATCATCCAGGGCAGAAAATGACTTCCTATTCTATATCTACTCATGCTGGGCTTATGATCAGACTGCACAAGAGCTACGCTCGACCTGGGAGAGACTTACTTCGAAGAACGAAATCGCGGCACCTGTGTTAGAACCAGCCCTAATCTTGACCCGTGCAGCCAGAGGGCATTAAGCTAACTAGTATGGCGAAATAAAATATCACTGGTGAAGATCAGCGGCCCATCAAACGGCTTGACCCTTCTCTGTGAAAAGCAACCTAATGGAGTGTTGGATTGACTGGGCCTGAGCCAGATTGATAGAGGCTGGCAGAAACATGATGCTAGTGGAGAGCTCTTGGGCGCAAAGAGAATGGTCAACGAAGACAGAGGCCGATGCCAAAGAGAGCAAGCCAGCAATGCCACAATACTATTATAACGTCATTCACTATACCGGTTACACGACAAGTAACAGAAATATTCAGTATATCAAATTAGTACATGGACTTGAAAGTTCTACATGGTTGGAAAACATCATGGCACGGAATCAATGTATGGCACTCAGAATATTGATTCTGGTGCTATCCTGCCTGTCAATGTTAGATGTAATGATTATCCTGTCTGGAGGCTATCGTGTTGAGGATGCTAGCTAGAACAAGAGAAAAGAAAACCCTTGAAGGGCAATAGCTGATATCATGTTGCTATGCGTCTTGCTCCCCTCAACCCATTAACTCATTAGACAAGCTACACTTTATTAAAAGCTCAGCTCTTGAAGAGCATGTTTAAAGCCTGGAATAGATCTACGATCTTAGATCAAGCCATTTGCGGCCAAGTCGCACTATAACCGGCCAGGAAGCCACATTCCAGGTCCAAAAATCGCCCCCAAGCACGGAATTCCGGGAATCCACTACATCACTCTTAAAATCACCAGTAAGAACCTACCAAATCCAGTGCTGACCCGGAAATTAAGGGCCCGCTACTTGCCTGCGCCACGCCCGTTTTGTTTCGAGACCGTTAGTGCTTATATACAATGGATCCGAGAAATGAAGCATAACGACCTTTATTACTTCGCAAAAGTCTCAAACAGACCAAAATCCTGAGACAGGAAATACAAATAGCTCAGCCACAGAGGTTCGGCCCGCTAGAAATGAACAGGACCTTAGCTCAGACACCGGCCATGCTGTCTGGTATGTTGAGAAAGTTAAGTCTACAGGGGGCCCCTGGAATGCTCAGCCTTGATGTCCACCGCTAAACCAGGACCGACATTAGACATTCCTCTCAGTACGGTCTAGACGGAAATCCTATGATCCTTCGAATTCATGGGTGTGGTATATAATAAGCGTGCCAAGTCGCGATGGACTCAGGCCAAGATATTCCTTAGACTTCACCATGCATATCGCGTCCTACGTCTCCGTCGCGTTCACAGTGCTTGGCTTGGCGGCTGCCTCGCCTAAGGGATGCACTACCAAGCGATCCCCAGAGCCAAAGTTGGAGAACGGTCATTACATCGTTGACCGCGCGACAAAGTTCGCCAACAAGAAGGTTTGGACCTTCAATGGCAAGAGTCTTCCTGAGGGTCTTTACTCAAGCGATTATCCCGTTGGAAAGACCCATGTTTTCACACCATCTGGGGTCAAAGTCCGCAATGGATATCTTGAGTTGACGGTCCCTGGCGGCCAGAAGTCCAAGCCCTACAAGGCTGCTGAGGTTGCGACTGAGATTGAGAACATCAAGTACGCTTCTGTCCGAACAACAGCTATTCTGAGCGAGCCTGCAGGTGTTTGCAACGGTACGTTCTTCTTATCATCTCAGTTGCGATATAATAACAGTTTCAGGGATGTTCTTCTACCAATCTGACAGCCAGGAGACCGACATCGAGTGGCTCTCCGACCCCAAGTCCGAGTCCAACTACGACGGCATTCGTAGACTGTGGTTCACGAACCAAGACAACGACGGCGACGGCGAGCCATCTCACAAGCCTGTCCTTCCTCCCTCAAACCCTACTACTACCGAGCACGAGTACCGAATTGACTGGACCAAGGGTCTTGTTCAGTTTTATGTTGATGGTGTTAAGCAGTGGTCTACCAAGAAGGATGTTCCCAACGTGCCTGGACCTTGGATCTGGAATAACTGGTCCAATGGTGATAAGGGTTGGAGCGCTGGACCTCCTAAGGAGAATGCTGTGTTCAAGATCAAGAAGATTGAGATGTACTACAACACTGCTTAGAAGGTGTTTGGATAGGTGCTGGGTTGGTAAAGTGTTTTAGATCTTGTATGATATTTGCATTTGGGTTGGTTGCATCGGATATGGAGAAAACAACACAATAGAGTCAAGATATAATGCTGTCTGGAGAAGACTAAGTTCTCTGTGCTGATATAAGCTCTCAGCCACAAGTCTCAACTGCAAATAACACATCTGGCTCACAACTTAGACATTATACCACAATGCCTGACCAGTTGCTACAGCATAAAGCTGATATCATGAAAACCTAAAAGATGACTCATTTGACCGCCCTCACAGGTATAAGAAGCTCTGATGCGTCCCCCGTCTGCAGAAGACTAATTGTCTCTTCATTTGTTGTCCTTCTCCTTCAGACTGTATCTTACTAATGAGCAAGCGCGACGCCTTAGTGTTCTTCGAATGGAAATTAAATCCGCTTAGGTACAGCCTTTCAGCATTTGATGTATCTTAGTTCTGAGCCATGTATGAGTCGAACTTAGCCGATTACTGAAGGGTTGAATTTGAAATGCCTGGCGATGGTATAACTTCCATATCATCGGGTTATTTCTCTATTTCCCTGGCCAAGCCCGAAAGAGGTATTTCTCTGGGACTGGGTAGAAGAAATTTCTTTTTAGATAGGTTCATAGGAGGAATTTGCGATACGTCACTTGTTACAATATTGAGGGGTATATCAAGGCACTATCAGCCTTTCTGTGGAATAACATAAACTTCGTAAGTCATTCAAGTATCTCTATCTCGCAATTTCCGCGCATCAAAACGAGATACTATTCCGCTGCCGGGCTACTCTCCTTCGGCCTCTCAGGCTTCTGCCCATAGACACTGAACCTACACCTCATTAGCTTCCCAACTCACATAGCACACAACATCAGACTTACACATGACCGAATGCCTGCGTCTTAGGATTCATAAGAACCTTTCTCATCTCCGCCGCAAAGAGCTGCATCTCTTCAGGCGACCACTTAAGAATCTCACAAAGCGGCAACTTGACAAAACCATCGAGGGCCTGACTAAATGACAGTCCCACGAAAGTTCCGAGTTCTTTCTTCTTCTTGTCCTTCGGCCAGCGTCCAATGGGGATTTTGTGCGTTTGAGGAGTTACGGATACGAAGCCTGCGTCTTTGGCGAGGGTTGAGAGTTTGCCGTTTGAGAAGTCGAATGTGCAGCCGATTGTTTCGCCGACTTGGGTGAAGATTTTTGCCCAGCGTGTGAAGATACTAAGATTTATTAGAAGTGGTGGCAAAGAGGAAGGTGATGAATGCATACTGCTCGTCGTCAACTTTGATCTCGGGGTTCTGAGAGAGCATTTGGAGATCAGGCTCAATATGCTGGAACCAACCACCTGGCTTGAGAGCCTTGTACATCTGACTGTACAACCTATCCCAGTCACCAATAGTACCCTGAAGATATCGGATATGAATAAAGTCAAAGGACTCGGGTTCAAAAGTCCATTCAAGTTGAGCATCATCGATTTGAAACTCAACATTTGGAGGGACAAAGCTTGGTTGGGTTGGAGTGATGTCTGTTGCAATGACATTGGCTGATGGATATTCGTCTGCTACGTTTATGGCCCAGATCCCGGTTCCTGTACCGATGTCCAGGATTTTCTAGACCGCATGAGGATGGGAGTCTATGGTGATGAAGAGACGTACCTGAGGGTTGTCGCCGATGGGAGGAAGGAAGAGTTTGTCGTCGAGCATCAATGTCAACCAATGATGGCTGAGATGGTTAGCCAACATCTCTACTCAAGGTTCCTGGCGATGGACTTACATGAGATCAAGTGCTTCGAGTTGTTTTTCGTCGTTGGGAGCCCTGTTTCTTTAGCGGTGCTCACTCTCATCACGAAATGTCTTACCAATGCTTTCCATATTTGGGATTGGCATAAGTTCTTCCCTGAAAGTACTTATTCTCGAAAATACTCGACGTAATCGAGGCCGTTGACTCCGTTTCGCTACACCGTCAGCTTAATCCCAACACATGTCTCCATCAACATACCTATCAGCACTAAAGTTACTCTCAGTGTCGTTCCCCACATCCAACGCAGGTTCCTACCAAGATTAGCACTCGTCGATCGCATCACAGTAAGTAACATACAGCTTCAATTTGAGCCGTCATCTTTTCGTTTTGTTTTACTCCTCAGCACAAAGAGATAAAATAAACTCACGCATGCGGGGTCGGTGGTATCTTTATGGCTTTATTGACTAGGCTTGGGGGGTTACATGACATATCAAATTGCTTCTGTGCCGCAGGCGCTGAAATGCATGAACGGAGGACGCTATCCAGTGATGGGAAAGTGACAGGCGGGGCTAGTTGCATTGCAGATGGGGGTTCACGGGAGTGTTTGTCTCTGTTATGTTTGTCGCAAGGGGCATTATGCAAGTAATCATGAATTGGCGAGTACTACCTGCATTTGTAACACCTGTAACTTTATCCTGGAACCTCTAGAGCCATTGCTATATCTCAAAAGACCATGAAGAATTGTTTGATGAAGAAGCTATCATCTCTTCTCTCATTATTAGCTTGCGGGGAGAACTACGCTAATGCGACCACGGCTTAACAAGACCCTTGTTCCGGGCGTCTTCACGACAGGCTTTTCAACTGTGGCATGCTTGGTTATTGGTCATGGAAAATCTTTAACCTTTTAAGGCTGGGCGGGCCGTTGTAACGTGTTCACCTAGTAGCCACTCATGCTGTCGTGATGCGATTGGAGGGGCTTGACATGGCACCAGCTGCATGTACGCCATGAAACGTTGGAGATGGTTGCAAATGTACGACAATACGACTGTGTACAACTCATACACCATTACCAATTTTCACTTCGTTTGTACTACAGCTACCATCAAAGCCTAAAAGCGCACGAAGTCGCTCCAATAAGTCCAATCCAGCAGGTCATCACCGACATTGAGATCCCACGCATCAAGTGCACTACCAGCCATCTCAGCATCACCCTGTCCAACACGTCTCTTACTCCAAAGCAACTCGACACAAGCCGGTACAGCATCAGCATCACTCAGCGCCTTGCGCCTCGCCTCCCAAGCCTCCAAAGTCAAGTTCCCCAACGCAGTAAATAACGAATTTTCAACACTATCCACAAGTTCGGGATGATCAGAATATAAACTGTCGACAAGCTTCCACGCCAGATTTATTCTCGGGCCTGCAGGTCGTCTGCGGAGTTCACTGATGACATAGATCCAAGCGTCGATTTGGTAGAGTGATGTTAAATGAGTAAACATCTGAGATGAGAATTTACTCTCAAAACCGACGTTGACGAGTTCCAAGAATGACAGTGCTGCGTTGAAGAGAATGTCGCTATCTTCTTTCGTCATGTAAACATCCGCATCACCAGGTGCTGCTCTAGCTCTTGGGTGATGTAACCTAAAGCGCATTCTTGCAATAGCCAGTTTGGCCATTGCATACGTCAGGTCATGAAAGGGAACCGCTCTGTCAAGATTGGCAAGATACTTCTCCGTGTAAATAGCTTCAAGCTCGTTGATAGCTTCGTCTTCGGCTTTGGTCGATCCTCCAGGTCTTCCAAAGCCGGGAGCTATGCAGTCGAACACCTTGGCTGCTTTGGGAGATGAGCGAAGCCACTGCGTTACTTCGAACTTCATAAGCACGCAGACCATTTCTGTGGGGCCGGTGTGTTGGACTGGAGGTTCGAGCATATCTGGATGGAGGTCTGCGTCGTTGATGTTGAAGGGGAGGCGAACATCGCCGAACTCTGATCTTGCCAGTTTGATTCCCGGTGTTGAACTAGCGCGCACTCGAGAGTCGAGGCCTTTTATCTGCCACCATAGTCTAATGCGCATTTCTTTGTCGAAGAAGGATAGTTTTGTGTCGGTGTCTGATTTGTGTAGACCCATCATCTGTCCAGCCCTTATTGCAACGGCCGTCATGGTACTGGCTAAGTCAGTTTCCGGATTTGAGAAGGTAAACAGGACCACAGCCTGAAGAGTCTCAAGATCCTTTGTCGTCATGAAGTCGGCTGCTGTAAGTGCCCGTATCGTGGCGGTGCGATAGCGCGTGAGCAATGCTCCTCGGTCTTCGCCCAAGGACGTCTGGCAAGCTTCTGACGACAAGGAGGTAACTGAAAGAAGATAAATTGAGAACATCAGCGCCGAGAGAGGCTTTGGTATGTTTGCTAGATCCCAACTTGCTTCTAGAATGCGTTTCTGTAGACTTGGGACGTGAACAACCTTAATGAGGGGATTGACGCATTCGACAAAGGTCTGCCAAAAGAAGAAGATTTGCTTTGGTTCTGGATGATTCTCACAGGCTTTTGATTCAGGGTCGAAAATCATGGAGTGGAATGCTGGCGAGGAATGGAGGAAAGGGTCATCTTTGTTACGCAGTGCAAGCGTGGGAGGATACTTGAGCTGCAACGATGTCAGTCGCAGCGACGTATCATTATCGTCATGACTTACCTCATAACTCAGCTTTGACCAAAGACACCTGCATACATCAGTATCAGTATACATGCTATTGATGGACAGGATGACTTACAACTCCGTCGCAGCATCCGACAACGTTGTAGACGTATCATCCTCCCTCTTCGCCTCCAAACCCGACGAGACCCAAACATTAGCATGCTGACTATAATCCACACCGTTTTTCTGCATCAACTTTTCATACTGCGCCAACCTCGCCAGCAGATCATCATCAGCAGCTCTTTTTCGAGGCTTTGGCGGAGGAGGCGCTTCGTAGGTACATTCTGCTCTACCTTTCTGACAATTTGAGCAGGGATGTTGTCGATCACACTTGACTTTTCGTCGGGCACACATTGAACATGCGTATTTTCGTAGTTCGGCCATGATATTGATGATGATGGGGACTTAGGGGTGTAGAAGCGAGAGCGTCAGTGGTTTCGGTGACTTCGGGGGCGCGGAGGACTCGGGGATGTCGGGGCTGGGAGGGGTTTAGCCTCGGGGTTTGAGAAGTCCGAGGGGTAGTTCGTTTCTTCCAGCTGGGGACCTAGTACTCTGCACAGAGTATGAAATAGAGTAGCAAGATGGTCAAGAACAGCTTTTGGATTGATTTATGTGTATGTCATTGGCAAATCTCAATGCCCATCGCGAGCGTTGCCTTGGACGTAACGCAGGGATCTTTCCCATCGAATCACATGCAGGGCGATGCACGATGATCAATTGCGTACTGCTTCTCAGCCTCGACAGCGCTAGTACCTCTAACGAATCGAGATAGACTTTCTCGCATCCCGAGGCACGCTCGGTTACGAACGACCTAGCGGGGCACGAGACACTACTTATTATCCCAATCTGCACATCTTCTTGCTCTGGCGCAGAATAGACTGTTCTCTGTTGGCCCTCAGGTGTTCCACTCAATTGATCTTGTTGACGCACTGAACACGCTTCTCCACCATGCCAGACGACAAAATCACCCTGGAGGCAGCTCATCGGCGCTTCAAAGAGCCTCTTCCCAAGCTAACCGCCATCAAATGTTCAGTCATAGCCTATGCACTACGAGCATTTATCGTCGTTGCGAATTATGGCCTTTCACTGAAAGAAAAGATCGTCACACCTGCCAACGCGCCGACTCTTACCAAAACATACGCCTGCCGACCAAAGTTGTCCCTACGGTAAGTCTTTAACTCACACCTCTGACAAAATCTAAATGTCATAGAATATTCTTTCCCAAAACCTTTGACAAAACCACTGAAGAAAAGCTTCCTACGGTCTTTACCATCCACGGCGGCGGTTTCGTCATGGGCGATCCTCGTGATGACGACCACTTCAACTACACATTCGCCAACATGCACTCTGTTCTCGTCGTTGCGCTGAACTACTCCAAATCACCGCATGTACACTTCCCAACCCCAACTTACGACCTCGAAGCGCTTGTCTTGGCAGTTCTCGCCGACTCATCGCTACCAATTGACCATGACCGCGTTGCAATCATGGGTTCCTCCGCTGGCGGAAACCTAGCGCTCTCTGTATCCCTACTCCCGAGCATGTGCGGCAGTGGCGATGGCGTGCGCCGTATCAAGACTGCTGTGCCTATGTATCCAGTGGTCGATATGTCTGTGAGGCGAGAGTACAAGATACAGACTCGGCAGTGGAAACCCTCGTTTGGAGGGTTTCGAGCAAAGACGACGGATATGCTGTTTCCGCTTTCACCTGTTTTTGAAGCTGCGTACTCTGTACCTGGTCAAGATCATCACGATCCATTGTTGAATCCTATTTACGCCGATAAAGATCAACTCCCGCCTAATTTGTTCTTCCTCGCGTGCGAGCTTGATATGCTGGCAGGAGAATCATGGAGAATGATCTGTGGACTGACGGGTCGTGAGATTGGAGATGAAACTGTGGGAAGAGAGACTATTGGGCCTAAAGGGGAGTTGATACTGGATGATGAGAGGTATTCGTTTGAGACGAAGACGAAAGAAGGAAATTATAGATGGCTGTTGATTCCGGATCAGATTCATGCGTATGATAAGTATGAGAATTTGGTGAAGCTTCATGGGGATAAAGAGTTGTCGAAGGATGCTGAGTTGAAGTTGGTAGAGGCTCAGAAGGTGATTGGGAAGTGGTTGTTTGAAGGGCCGTTTGCTTGAGGGATAGATCCAGATAGACGCATAAGGGAGACATAATTATTGAAAGGATTGTTCAGTCTCTGGTGAGTAACATAGGTCAAATTAGCTATCTATAGGGGCATCACTCAAGACATTCTTCTCCCAACCAACTTATTCATCCACTGATATACCGACGAACTGCTTAAGAGCCTCCTCCACCACCACAACCACCACCACCTCCTCCTCCTCCACATCCACCTCCACCGCCGCATCCTCCTCCTCCACAGCCTCCTGCTCCAGAACAAGCCGCCCCAGCACATCCACCACCACCATCTCCACCACCCGCACATCCTCCGCCCGCTGCATTACCTCCACAACTTCCCGCCGCACAGCCAGGCGCAGCTCCATAGGCGTACGCCACCGGAACAAAAACAACGGGTGCCATAAAAGGTCCGTACACTACACATGTCAGTCAACATTCAATATTTAGGAAAGAGAGACGTACTCCAGTAGGAATAACCCCAGTGGTCGTAGTACTGGTCCTTGGGAGGAAGCTTGCGACCCTTCTTCTCGGCGCGTTTGCACGCTTTTTGGTAGTTCTCTTCGAGACGCTTGTTTTGAACCTCACGCAGTCTGTTTTGCACTTTTTCAAGGTGGCTTGCTGCGACGAGGCCCTCGTTTGACGTTCGGACGGCGTTGTGAGAGGAGATATGGGCCGAGTTGTCGGGAGGACACATATCTGCTGCTCCGGACTCATAAAACTTGTCGGCAACTAGAATTGTCAGTCATGCTTCGCTGATTAGGGTGTTGGACTTACTCTTCTCGCTGTGGGAGAGCTTGAGAACTCGTCCGATTGATGTGACGTGCGCGGCTCTCACGCTTTCGCAGTACCAGCATGTACACTCTGAGTAAACCTCGTCAAACATCTCTTGGTAGATCTTGCTCGTCCACTCAAACCCATCGTTCAACTTCTCATCCTCAATCTTGTCGTCATGTCTTACATACTTGAACACTCGCTTCGTCGTGTACATAAAGTACGACAATGGCATGAGTTGATGAGTATGCCAGCCAAGATCAACATCGAGGGTAGGAACAGCAGTCTTCTTGGGGTTCTTGGCGATGATTCTCATGAAGCGATTATACTTCAAGCAGCATCTGTCCATGGTCTCTCGCGCGGTGGGAGAGTGTAGCCAATCAAGCTTGCACATCTTTTCAGCAAAGATTCCCTGTCGCATCACAGCGCCGCAGAGATCAAGAGCAAAAGGGCTGAAGTTCTCCCAGTAGCGGGACATCATCTTTCGGATACAGACTTTCGAGAACGCTGGTACGAGGCCCATTCGTCCGCTTGCGACGTTGCCGTGGATAGTAGCGAGAGCACTTGGTTTGAGAAGCGCCTCAGACTCAATCAACTTGCGCACAGTCTCCATAGTAGGCGGTTCCTCGGGATCCGGTGAATCAAGAAGATTCTGGATTTGAAGGCGCAAAACATGCTGAATCATGCGATTGGGGAACATGCGCTGATCAAATAGAGATCCTTTACGCACGGTGATGGGAACGGGTGTTCCGCTGTTGGGCCAGAGCATCGTTCCAGGCATAGGCTGACTCTTGAAAATGATATTATCTGCATCTTTGCAGAACTTGGCGACACTGAGAGTCTCTTTGGTGATGCGGGTGTTACACTTTGGACATCGCGCCTCAAATCTGATGTCACCGTAGCCTGCGCCCATTAAGCCTGGTCGGTCTGGCGACTTGGGTGTTTCTTCGAGACCGCAGGTAGTCCATGGAACGTCAAATGGTTGAGCACAATTCTTGTTAGGGCAGGCGATTGTCTTGACGAGGGGATCGTCGACGTTGTCCCATTGACGGCCTGTTTGGGCGACCCAGCGTGCCTTGTCGTCGTCAGAGACGTTGTAGCTGAAGGAGCCGTCGATCGCGGCGTTGACGAGACTCCATGGCATGCCGGACTGCCAGAATTGACGGTGGCCTTGGCGGATGCAGTCTTCGAGGAAGTTGTAGGGGTTCAGCATGTGAGAGTGATATACCATCAGGACATCTGGAATCGTCAGTGCTTGCCTTCTTCTGTAGTTGGATTGACTCACCAAGAGGGGGAAGGGTCTTCTTCTCCCACCAACGAGGCGACTCTCCGATAGGAAACTGCACAAAAGACGGAGAATTCTTATCACTCATATCATTCTCCGTAAGAGGCATCAGTTCCCTCGGCAGTGAATTCCACCACGCCTCATACCGATCAACAGCCCTCGCGACAAACAGCGCCCAGCGTTTCTCACGCACTTTACTCAGCGACTTCTTCTTATCCTCTAGCTCATGGTTAAACTCCCCCGCAGCGGGATGTTCGTCAACGTCGCCATTCTCATGGACTACAATGTTTCCATCGGCGCGAGTATCCCATAATCCCCAAAGACCATCTGTGTAGCCAATGTCTTCTTTTAGCGCTTCAAATGCGAAAAGAAGACGGAGATGGGCGAGGCAGGTGCTGGAGTCTGGTTCGTGGGGGAGAGAGTCGATTTGAAGATCTGTGAAGGGTGCTGTGAGGTCATCTGGGCCGGGTGCAGGTGTATCATCCACGGCCTGATAAGCCGGAGGAGCTGCCATGGTAACAAAATGTGTAAATAATATGCGAGTAATAGTATTCTTGTTCGGGTCAATGAGGTTGATTGTTTTGGCAATTGTCTTATTGCTGTTTGACTGTAAAGGTTGAGATGGAAACTTGGCAGTTTATATCACGGAACTGTGCCGCGATGCGAGACCCCTCGATCTTGCCATGTTCTCCGCGTTTACATCATTTGTGGACAAGCGAGGCAGTGCAGCGCGTGTGTGACTGGCTGGATAAGCAAGCCAGCGGAATGATCACAAGGGTAAAATCATGCCGATGATCCGATTGATCCTGTAGGCGATTTGCTGGTGCACTAACAAATCTGCGGGGTCGACGCGGGGTCATGCGCATTATTGGAGTAATTGCTGTTAGGCTAATAACGTAGGTTACAGCCACCGCCCGGCTACACCTGAGAAGCAGGCAGCAGAATTCTTAGAGCTAAGCCTTGGAGATCTACTCGGGCGGCGATTTTTATGCAATCGCTGCAAGGCTGGGCGTAAGATCAACGCCAAGCAGGACATCTGATTGAATGCGAAAATGGAAGGGTCCTTTTCTTCCTTCTAGAAGGCCTTGGGCTATGCCTTGCATGTTCTAGTTTGGGGCTGTGATGTCGTGGTGGATGCCTATCACGTACAACCAACAAGCTGTTCTGGACCGTCATGGATTGGGGGCCGTTTTTGGAGGAGGACCAACACGTCAGCGATAAGAAATCAGGCCATTGGGATTTGACAATGACAATTACGTATAAGGTCCGGCGCTTGAAGTGAGGGCGACTGAGTAGACTGTTGGCTGCAGGTGAGTCTACGTGCGCGATGTAGCTCACCTCAACATCCTCAATTGGGAATGCGAAAATTACACGACGGCCCGCGATACCTGCGCAACGAGAAAATGATCTGATCTGCCCGGGGAAACTAAGCCTTAGATCCGACAACGCAATTGACGGGTCAAAAGCCCCGATCTTATAGTCTGTGGCTGAATTGAGTGGCATTTTGCGAAACATTGCGTGTTGGCTGCACGATTATCTCGGTGTTTTGGCGTAAGACGGGCCATTCACCTCAAAAATGCCGGATCAAATCACCGATATCACTGTGTATTTAGACTCGTATCGCAAATAAAGTTATCAGATCAATTCTTCGTCATTCGTATCCCACTATTTCTATAAAATGTCCACCCTCAAAGTCCTCGTTGTAGGCGGAGGCATCGCCGGTCCCTCAGTAGCCCACTGGCTCTCCCGCACCGGCGCAGAAATCACCCTCATTGAGCGCTCCCCCAAAGCCAGAACAACAGGTCAACAGCTTGATCTTCGCCACCAAGGCGTGGCGGTCATGAAGAAAATGGGTATTGAGCCTGCGATACGCGCTAAGCATGTTCATGAAGTCGGAACACAGCTCATTGACACAAATGGTCGAACAAAGGCGTTTTTCCCGACGATTGAGAGTGGCACTGGGAATCAGAGTGTCACGACGGAATATGAGATTATGCGTGGTGATCTTGTCAATATTCTGTTGGGGCTCACAGAGGGGAAGAAGAATGTGAAGCATCGCTTCGGAACAAGTGTTGCGAGCTTGACGCAGGATGATGAGAGTGATCCGAATGGAAAGGTCCATGTTGGGTTTGATGATGGCCAGAAAGACGACTTTGATCTCGTCGTCGCGGCTGATGGGACGGGTTCGAGGACACGACAACTCATGCTTGGACCTGATGCTCCAGATCCACGACATTTCCTTGGTGGTTATATCGGCTTCTTCAGCGCTTTGTCGAAACCGCACGATACAAACCGCTTCACATTCTGCCATTTGCCTGGCTCACGCTGGCTCGGTACAAGAAAGGATAACCCGGAGATGACACGTGTGTACATGAACATACAGAGTCAGAATGAGGGCCTTGCAGCGGCGCACAAGTCGGGAAAGCTGGATGATCTCAAGGCTGCTTGGGCGGATGTGTTCGCAGACGGAAAATGGGAAAGTGGTCGGTTCATGGATGCGTTGAAGAATTCTCCAGATGCAGATGATCTCTACTCCACGCCCTGCCAAGAAGTTCGACTACCTCCGGGATCATGGTCCAGAGGACGTGTCGTAACCCTCGGCGACGCAGCGCATGCTCAGACTGCAAATGGCTTTGGAACAACATGGGGTATCGTCGGATCGTACATACTCGCTGGCGAAGTAGCGACTCTGTACAATCAAGATCCCAGCAAAGGAGTCGTACAGGGTGTCAAGAGATATGAGGAAGTCTTTCGACCAATAGCGACGTCTCTGCAGGGCGACCAGAGCGCATTCGCTAGAGCAGTATTTGCGCCAAAGACGCAATTTGGAGTGCAGATACTTCACACGTTGGCAAGAATGGCATCGTGGTTCAAGCTAGATCAAGGAATGGGTCTTGATTCCAAGATCGCCAACTGGCAACTTCCAGAATATCCAGTACTGAACGCTGATAAATGAAATGGGGGGTATCAATCAACAAAGCTGTATAATAGTTAGACACGCAATTCATCTCTTCTCAATGATTACAAAACTCACCTCAAGATGAGTCAAAACACACAGAGGTATACATAAAACAAAAAGGCTCAAGGTATCAATATCACAGTTCACAAGGAAAATCTCATCATCGGACACTATTCTGCGACGACATGGAACCTCTACCGCCAGACTCAGTCATGCTGGGTGTATGATGTTCACGCTGCTGCAGTCGCGAGATGGAGTTGACCTCTTTGGCGCCTGGTAAGCTGATTGCGTCGTAGTCCAGATAGGCGTACGCACGCTGTCCCTCAATGACTTCCTCGACGTCCCTAGGGCTGCGGGAGCGGCGGAGGGCGATGGAGTTGGTGTAGGTGTTGCTGGCGTGGCTGAGGCCGTTGGTGGGATAGGTGGTGTTGCCGGAGGATAGGCCTGGGATGAATTTGCGGAATATGGGGCGGAGAAGAGCGAGGCAGCCTGAGATTGTTAGTGGGATGGTCAGAGGGGAGAGGGACAACTGGGGGGAGGCTTACTGGTGAAGACGGCGAGGTGGACTTCGACGTTGGCCCAGACCATTGCGAGGGAGAAGTCGTAGGGGAATTCTCGTGAGTTGGAGGTGTATTTCTGCGCTTCAACGATCTGAAAGATGGATGCAATACCGACCCTGAGAGTGTAAGCGATTGATAGTCTCACAATGAAGTAAACTTACAGTGAACCAAGACTGAAAATACCGATGACAGCAATCTTTTGCCCAAATATCAACTTCATCCTCACGACCTCAAACAGCGGCAAAGCAAGAATAATGAAATCCATCAAACAATGCGTCAAATCAGTCCCAAGATAATACTTCCCAATATTATTCATGCACTTCCCATCAATCGACTTATCCCAATATGCTTGCACAGGCATGCAATGAAAGATGGTCATGAACGTCCGGATGGTGATCCAGCATCCACAGCATACCATCAAGATAATGATGGGCACGCGTATAGACGAGAACTGAAAGATGCGACGGTAAAAGGTAAGCACGGCCATCTTGCTGAGAAAGATTGACCACGAGTACAGGATCTCGCTGGCGAAGAGAATCTCATGTGATTTCTCAAGAATGTGATCGATCTTTTCTTCGGGGAAGTGACCGATTTTGCGACCCATGTAGAAACATACAGTCCCTTGGATTTGTTAATTAAATCAATGAGATGGAACAGAAGGGCGTCACTCACACACGATGAGAAGAATTGCATAGCCAAGGGCCACAAACTACACGAATCATAAGCATTTATTTTGGCTGGAAGTAATGAGGGCGTACCCAAGCTGCGATTGACAAGGCATCGTCATAACCAACGCCCATCTTAGTCATGCGCCTCGCCTTGATCCTCAGAATCAACGCGAGCGCGCTCGCGGGCACGGGGATGATTATGGCGGCCCAGACATTGGGAACCCGGCCCGTCATAATTGAGGTGGGAGCAGCGAAGTGACGCTGCTGGGAGTCATTGAATTGCGTGGGGCGAAAATGAAGATGAGAGAGCTTTTGGGAGGAAGAGAGAGATTGGGAAAAAAAAAAGAGGGGCGACTGGGTGAGCCTTTATGCCGAAGGAGAAAGATACGAGCGGTAGGATTGCCTTGATTAGACTGCACTGCTAAGGTACTGGGTGATAGGGTGCTGTTGGGGCCAAGCAATTAGCATTGCCACAACGTTGACAGGCCAAGCGACTTCTGTGCAACCCTCCCCCAGTACGAAAGCTGAAAAGAGACTTGCATTTGCAGAGCAGGGCACCACTGTAAGTTAAAGAAATACGCCCCGTCAGCTTCATAAAATGGCTGCCTTATTTTCAACCCTGGTCTGCTTCACTCAAGCATTGGCTAGATGGGGGGGAAAGTCGCGCAGTCATCATCATGCCCACACACACCAAGAATGCTTGTTGGGCGAATCAAAGGGCCAAGCTCACGAGACACTGCGACGCTGATCAAGTGACCCCAAGATAAGGGTTCATTGGCCCAAGCTGAAAATGCGGTCGTTATCTCTCGAGCCTGCCAAGGGTGGTACGTAGAGATAGGCTTTTTTAGGATTTGGGCACCTTCTTGATGGAGGTTAGTCTTATGTCGGTGAGATTTGTTCTACAAGCCTTCTTTTGTTCCTTTTCCATGGTTTTTAAGGAGTTTTGAGGACAGAGGATTGGAATTTGGGAGGAATTGGGTTTTTGGTACACGTCATAAGGGCCTGGCCTCGACCGGGGTCGGTAAAGTAGTGGATATTCTACCCCAGGTTTGAGCGAGTCAAGTCCCACTTGGCCTTGGTGCCAGCGTTAGCCGTTGAAATCTGCCGCCCGTTAAAATGAGGCTTTCTTTATTCACATCTGGGTGCTTATCTCAATTGGAAAGACAGGATCGACGGCGAAGTGGTGTGAACAAACCCAACAGCCTCGTGAGGCAGGCTGTGAGCCCATGCATTGCAGATGACTCATTTTAATACAAATTGTTTGCTTGGTCTGATAAAGAGAATAAAGGAATGCAGTATGGACCGTGCTGAGGCCTGAGTGAGCAAACTTGTTTATTGAGTGACGCTTTGGTAATTAACGCGATAAGCTGGTGAGTTCAATCGGCAATCAATCGATCCATCACTCATCAAGGCCACGGTTATCTCCATCCGTATCAGCAGGGAATTATTTCTGCACGGCCCATGATTTCCTGGCAGTTATTCCAAATTCTCCTTCTGTTCCTCAGCCCCGGCAGTTCTCCCCACCGTCGGGTCAACTCCCCCCGCAATTGCGTCCAATTGGTATTTTTGCGGTCCAACATCCTCACAGGCGTAGTAGTGTATCCCTGCTTCTGCCTCTCTTCAAGCTTAGCTGCTAAACTGACCAACCTCTTGATCTCTGCTGCATCCTCTTCAGATCCATTGTCGTCTTCACGACGAGCCAAGATTTCCTCGTTGATTTCGGCCAGCCCCTGGCCGATTCTTTGCTGCTCGGCTGCTGTTGTTGTGACGAAAAATGAGAGCGGGAGGGACGTCCATGCTTCGTAGAGCCAGGGGAGTTCGCGCAGGGTTAGGTGGTAGAAGAGCGATTGCGGGAGATGGCGGAATGTTCGTGATGATAGTCGCAGGTTGGCGATGTCCCAGGAATCTAGCTGCAGTAAAATCTCGAGCTTAATCTCTTGCGGAAACTTGGAGAACAGGTCCGTAGAGTTCGGCGCTGGCGAAGCCGCATCTGAGCAAATGTCATCAGGATTGCAGACATTCTGTACTGAATCGAGAATATCCTGCAACCCCGGGATCAAGCACGGATTTGCGGCCAGAAACTCGTCCCCAGCGTGATGCATCCAGTGCATTTGCCTGGCCCTCTTCACAGCAGCATGTTCTGGTAGCCGCAACGTTGGCGCCGTTATTATCTGTCCCCAACTCACTAGAGCCTTGACATTCACAAAGCCATATCGATATATCGACGCTCGCTTGAACACCTCAAAGCACGTCGGATGAAATGGCATTCCCGTAAGCCCACCATCAATGTGATTATAGTCTGTCGCTGGGTAATGGACGTCATTGCGTGCTGGGAAGACTTGTGCATATCCCCTGCCATTAAATTCCATGGCACCGCTTAAACCGCTGAGTACATAACGGCTCTGTTTCTCAAAATCTTCAAGTTCGCTCTCCTGTGGCTCCCATGACTCGTCGCGGGGTAAGAGGCATTGGTATGTGTTGCACTCTCTCATTGCCTCGACTGAGATGCGGCTTCCGTGGTACGCACTTATTGATCTGCAGTTCGGTCCGGAGATGTGTTCAGAACGGCTAGAATCGAGGTTTCTGATGGAGATGAAACTCGTCCCTGGTCCTAGGCCGTCTCTCGGGACGGAATTGCAGCCTGGTTGGACGCAGTTTTGGCTTCCGGGAATTACTCCTACGCCATAACTTGCAGGACTGCACCATGCTGCAGAGGGGGGTTCCCCAGCTGTTCGGTGACGACTGATGTGGAAGCTGACGCCGCAAATCATGCAGGGAATTTCTACATCTTGATCCGCGTGCAAGAAATTGAAGGATGGAAATACAAGTGGCGCTTCTGTGTGTTCATAGAAGCCCACGCTCTGCATCACTTCGTCTCCATCCTCGTTACGGTCAACCCAGATCATAGACATTGCTTCGCTTAAGTCTGTGGTTGTTTGATAGTACCTAAGCTCAGTTTAAAACGGATCGGCGAACTTGGGCTCGTTTGATGCTAGCGGAGGTAAAATGGGAATGGTTCCAAGAATTGTGGATGCGGGGTTGAAACATTGCTTCAAAATTTCTCCACCTGTCAAGTTTGTGACTGATGGTATATACTCGGCTTCTACATGTAATTTGGCTGCCAAAGTAAGTAGACGCTATCTGCGACGAGCTCCACTAGCTAGCCATTATCTATAAACACGCGCTTCAGAGGCACGAGATGAACACGAAGTGACGTGGGCCCACTGAACCGCGTTCCTCTCCATCAACTGGACAACCAGCCCACCAAATTTGCGAGACGGATGAAAACTACCTTCAGTTGAGATACACTTCCAAGCAAGAACCTACGCAATGCCAGAACCTCTCGTGTCTCTCCAACCTGAGGTCTTGAATGCTATGAAAGCAGTCAGATCCGCAATGACGCCCTGACTCACTTCCTCACGGCCCATTTCCAGTTTACAGAGAGTATCGTCAAAGACAAGGAAGCCGAAGTCGCTGCACTCAAAGATAATGCCACTCCAAAGTCTCCTTCTGCGAAAAAGACGACTCCGGCTTCTGGCAAGAAGCGCAAGGCTGAATTGTCCCTCGATGAAGACATTGCTGCAAACAAGGCAAACTTGAACGATGCCATCGAGCACGCCTCCTTTGAGAACGATAGACTTCCCAGCTGCAATGTCATCCGCACCAAGTTGAACAAGCTCTTTGACTCGGGTGTCATGAACAAGGCTGAGTTCTGCAGAGCCACCGGTACTAACTCAAAGTCCCTTGACAAATTCCTCAAGCAGAAAGACCCCTTTGGCGGATCTAATAGTGCTGTTTGGCGTAATGCATATGTATGGTTTCAACAGCGTAAAGTTATGGGTCTCAAAATGCCAGATGCCAAGAAACGCCAACTCGAGGAGAGTAAGAAGGACACTGTCGACGGAACTCCCTCCAACGCTGCAGCTACAAAAGCCCTCCCTGATATCAGTGAGATCCACCTTGAAGGTGAAGAAACAGATGTGGTTCCCATCTACGATGGCTGCGATGAGATCCGCCGCAAAATAAACGCACACATGAAAGTAACCAGCGTGACCCAAGCGCAATTCTGCAGAGATATTTACGCACAGTTCAACGCACCCACGTGCAAAGGTATCTAGTCAAAGCAACTTTCAGACTTTCGAAATGCAAAGGGCAGTAATGCCGGGGCGAAGAGTTCAGTGTTTTATGGAGCATATGTTTAGTTTGAGAAGATGAGGATCGCGCAGGGCAAACCGGTTACAAAACACAGAGTCGAAATGACTTTTATTCATCCTGGGGACATTCCGAGAGATCGTGATGATAGGACTACTTGGGTCATTGGTGCAGCTTAACGAGGCTTCTGTCGTTCGGTTTGGAATGAATGGGGAAATGGTCGATGTGTTCTGTTCGGGTGTTTGATCTCGTGGGATTGATAGGGATCGTGCTTGGTTGATATCTGCTGGTCAGTATGTAAAAGGGCGCTGTGTCACTTGGGTATTTGCTTAGTAGGATTCAGCGTTTGTGTACTTTGAAGTGCAGCTGCTAGCTGTGACAAATATACTGGCGCTGTAGACGTTCAATGATATTCCAGCAAGCTGAACCCTGCGACATGACTGGTCTACAGTGAGCGCACATCGATCGACAGGGGTCATGGTAAGCAGCCAACAACCAACACAGACAACTTCGCAACCACCAAAAAAAAGAGAACATATACAACAGAGCAAGCGATTCCGGAGGGCAAAAATGGCAAAAGATACATACAACAGCGGGGATTCGCTGGTCGTCACCGACCCAACTACTAATCCGCCGGTTAGTGGCTTGACTATGGGAGAGCGGACGGGATCCCGTATTTTCCACTACCTTTGATCGTATGTGCCAGGGAACCTTGAGTTTACGTCCTATAACCACAAGAGGCTACAGCGCTCTTCAGTGCCTTTTGATGGGTCTGCCTGCTAGCTGTCGATTACCAGACATCTATTATTGGAATCTTAATGATTAACCAGAACTCTCGCGAGGAGTCTTGTAGAAGTATTAAAACAGGGAAATTTATCCATCTTTATTATTATATCAGGTTCCATAGCCTTTTGTCGGAACTTCCTCTGATCAATGTTGAGCTCGGTTCATTGTTTGCTGTTTCTGCACTTTTTTTGGTGCGAAATGGCAATCCAAGCATTAGCCTCTGCTCAAACTTGCGACATCCAGCCGTATCGCGGCGACAAAATCGGATCAGAAACATACATAAAACCACAGACTTCTATATTTAAATAGTGTAATAATCTGAGGAGGTCCAGATTGGCCTATTTTTGCTTATATTCTTTGCTTGTCAACTACTTTAACCACGCAACATAGCATCCTCCAACAAACAAAGAGCTACCCTACAGAACTGGCGCTGAACGAGATGCTCAGCGATATTGTCCACGACCGCTGGCTCAACAGGCACTCACACCCCGGCTCCTCTGGCGAGTTTTCAGAGACCATTTCTTGCAGACATTCACCGCTGAGTGAAATCTCTGTTCTCATCGGCCCTTTACAGTGTTTCTGTAGCAATAGAATCGCCCACTACTTGGCAGCCTCATTTATTTGCAAAATCCTCATTCAATCGCGACGTCATTTGCTGAAGTCGTCTTGATGCTCCGCGATACCCACTGAACCCGGTCGCATGTCTCCAGTAGCGAAATGAGGCTGACAATAAAAAGTGGCTGGGCCAGAATCAGAGTTTTCACTCTGCCTCAGGCGCAAGTCCCCCAGACCCACTGTAACTCTCTATAAAAAACCAATCCTCCTCAGACCTTTGGGATTTTTTTCCTTTCTTCTTCATGTCGACAATACTTCAGTATGTCCCCCCCTACCTACCATCACTCTCCCACCAAACGTATACTAACAACGCCTCCAGGAGAATCATTTCTATAGTATTCGACCTTCTCTTGGTTCCCTAAAAGAGCCACAGATCCCACCCTGGTTGATGAATGTATATCCTCGACACCCTAGAGTGAATACCCTCTTGGTCCTCTCGCTCTGTCCGCAAGGATGGCGGTGGTTGCCTCGTGCAGCTGCTGTATAGAGATGGTTTGCTTGATGATCTCGACCCCAGCTGTGGTCTTGCCTTCGGGCGCGTGGCTGGGGTGGGTGTTGATGGACGTCTGACAGGCGTGTTTTATTCTTTTCATTGCTTTCTGGGGCTTGTCTTCGGGAGTGAGGAAGATGGTTTGGGACGCGATGATTGGTATCGCAGTTTCAGCATCGTGATGTGAAAGTTAAAGTTTGTTACCCTTGTCTCACTCTGAGATCTGCCATCTTACTCCGTGGCTTATTTCTATTTTTGTTCAAGGAAGATTAAATGTAGCCCAATACTCACCGCGATATACTAGCTGTAAAGCTCCTGTGGATATAGCGGTCCATCATCATGGCCACATCCCGTAAGGTACTCTTGGAAGTGCTATTCGTAGACCATAATATCTCTTGTCTTATGAATTGACAATGACTTCGAGTCAAGTCTTGGATCTCGTAAACAATTGGCGCATGGACGAGTCTGTCCTTTTGCATCTTTGCTGCTTGGAGGCATGGTGTTTTCGCCATGTCACTGCCTGGCGTTGTTCCCAAACACCAGGAGCTCTTTGTTGGCGGAGAATTGACTTCCCTTTCACTCTCCGCTAGGCAGTAACATTGACTCATGATGTCCCTTTGTTTCTTGGTTCCTTGTTCAGAAACTGTGTTATTTGAGCGATGTCCCATTATGCATGAGAACAACAAAGAGGATGGTATTTTATAACTGCAGCAACTTCTGCTCTCGATGCTTCTGATCACCAATTAACAACACCAAGAACCTCCACAATAACACCATTCACTATGTGTATCATCTACTCTACCCCCAAAACCTGCGGCAACTGCGAAGCTGAGGATATCGCGCTTACCAACACAGAGACATGCGACGCTGTCAAGGAAGGCAAGGCCTGTCTGGGAAGGAATGAGATCGTGATCAACAATGCATGGCTGTGCCCAGCATGCAAGGCTAATACAGCTCGTGGCCCGTCCTACATGGAACCATACGACTATCAGCCGAAGATCCGACAACAGGCCTCCAAGAAAGAGACGGGTTCCTTCGCGGATCAAGTCAAGAAGATGATCGGCAAGAAGTAGGGCAACATGCTTCCGTATTAGCAGTGAGCATGAGGTCGAGCCGCTAACTAACACAAAAACCCTGAGTGAGTTTCTAGTGTACACCTTAACAGCAGGGTGAGGAATGGGTAGGATCCAATACACCTGTTCATAGATAGTATCCGAAACGAATTTTGAAGATTAGCAAACAAATGGATTCTTATGCAGTGAATATCGAGCCTCTATGAGCTGTGCATTGTCATGCCATGCGGCCTTGAATCACATTGTTATTTTTGTTGTAATTAGTAGGCTAAGGAAAGCACGTCGCTCAGTTACTCACTTGGAGTGTAAGAGTGAACAAGTGAAGCGAGGCTATCGGGACTGTTGGTCCGTCCAGTGAAACAATGTTGACTTTCTGACACGAACACTGCTCCGGCGTTCGTTATCATCGCCTCCAAATGCCCAGAACTATTATATATAGCCCTGCAAGCGCTCCCACTCCCTGAGTGTCTCAGCTCACACTGAAGCCTTTCATTCAACCAACAACTCTGCAGAGACGCTGGATAACAGTATAAGCCATGTGCACAGACGAGTATCGCCGGACGCTTTGCGGCGTCTGCGAGAAAGAACCCATCGAGCAAGAGAGAAAGAAATCCGAGGACACCAGGACTGAGGAATGCGAAAATGCTAAGAAAGAGAGGAGGAAATGTCCAAAAGAACAAAGAAATGATCAAGAGAGGGACGGCTCCTGTCAGGTATGCGGGCAGAGCACATTGTATGGACTGTATGATGTTAGGACATATTGGTAGGAGCGTTAGTAAACGGATGGCTTTAGTTTAGTATCTTCTGAAGTGAAAATTGAAGCATAATTACTGATTGTTCAGGCAAATCCTTGGTGGAGAGTGGATAAGAATATCTTGAGAAGGCTGAAGGGCACTGTCTGTCCTGGGCTCCCTCGAATAGTCCTGCCAAGAACCTCATTTGTGACTAGATGCTTTCTGGTTCGCCGATAATTTGAGGTGAGTGATAAGTCTGTATCGGTTTCTTTTTAATTTATTCACCTTCCCTCCGTGCCTGTTTCACCGTCGACTGCTTATTCCGTGATCCATACAGATCACAGATCTTGACTGGTGTACATAAGCCCGCGGCAACTCTTTCTCTCTTGATCCATCTCTCACGCAAAGCTTTTACTTCACAAACCTAAGAGCCACACAAAAGGATTGGAACGCAAATCATGTGCACTGAACATATTGGGCTGCCCCATTGCGGCAACTGCGACCTTGACTACGATGAGCAAGAGATGGGGAAGGTGTACGGAAAAACATGGACAAAAATGTGCGAACCTGCCAAGAAGAAGGGAGAGTTTTGCGCAAAGAAGGATTCCGAGGAGACAAATACTCTTTGTCAGCGTTGTCGCAATGACACTTCTTGCAGGCCACCTGGGACTGGACCAGGTCGTTAGGAGATCACTTACTGACTCTTTCAACTGTTCCTAGAATAAAATCCAGGAGGTTGCTTTCTCTATGATTATTCCTGTTCGGGCAAACCCTTTGTGAAGAGCGACTTAAAATAACGTAAACAAGCCACTATCTGGCTTAAGCCCCGCCTGTCAGAAACCTGTCTTTGAGCAGATGATACAGTGTTCCCGACATGCTTTGATGAAAATTGGAGGCTGGCCCTTCAGTGACCTCTTCGTAGTGTGAAAGGCGAACAAAGAGTTGACTCTGCTCACATTACAAACAAGAAGACTCCCGATTCACTGACAGCAAAGCTGATCACCAGAAACACTCTATAAAATGAGATCTTCGCTGAATCGATTGTGCTTTTACTTTCTTGTAAATATTCGAAACCCATTCGCTTTATCTACCATTCACAAAAACCTACAACGAGATTCCCTTGACATACACTCAACTAAATCACCAACAAGAACCATGTGCACCATCCCCAAGATAACATGGACGTGCCCCCATTGTGGGATGAAAGAAGGCCATGATACTGCCGATCTCCTTAAATGCAACGATGCTAAGGCTGGAAAGAAGTGCCCTAGGAGAAACGAGCAAGAAATGTCTGGGCCTAAGGCATGCAAAGACCACAAGCATCTCCCGACGAAAGAGAAGGAGTGGTACTACAACCTGTAATGATAGTCAGATGAAGGCGATAGGGAAAGATTCAGCTGAGGAGTTATTTTAGCTAACATTTTCATGCTGTCGTATCAAACTCGTAATATAAACGACTTATTACCTCGCATGATGCATCGACGTGAGGCACGCGGAAACCTTCTATGCTCATGCTCGACCAGAATCTGCCTTAGATACATAATGATAAGTGAGTAAATTCAGGCTGCCTACAGCGTCACGGAATCTGCTTGCATAGTTCACTAATGGCTAGCTGGAGATGGATTCTGACTGAGGGCTGAAGCTCATCGGGTGCCTTATATGAGCCATCATGACTGACAGAGTTAAGTGATTTTCCACAGGTCTGTAGTACAAATATAGTTCAAGATTTCGTGCCCTCTCGTGCAGAAGCAAGCATTCCTCCTGGTGCCCAGTCAGCTCATGCCTCAAGATTCAAGAACGTCCCCATTCACAATGTGCACAGTCACTCAGAACATAAGCAAATGCCGTTTATGCCCAAAGGAGCGTAATGTGGACTTGGGAGAAACAGTGCAATGCGAGAAAGCAAAAAGTGAGAAGAAGTGCGATGGAGTTACCGTAAATGGAATCTACCATGAGTGGATATGCGAAGCTTGCTCGTTCCCAAAAGCAGCCGACAAGATATAACAAGGCGACTTAGATAGATCAAGAGCGGTTCTTGGAAGCAAGTAGGCCACCAAAGAATTTTTTTCTCAAATTGGCTTGGACGCAATGGCTGGATTTGTGACAGCCAGTGACTGTTCGTGGTTTTGCTTGCCGCACCTGCATCCCGGTTGACGATGCGTGTGCCTTGTAGGGCTGCGTCATAGTTTCAGAACCAAATGGTGCCCATGGAGTATCGAAATGAACGTGCGTTGATTCAGAAATGAGCCAAGAGAGACACTTCATGCGACTGGATCGCCGGTCAGACTCCACGGTCCTGGGGCCCTCATGAACCAATCTCCAGTGAACCAGGCCGTGCTTATCACCCAACATGGTATATTTGAGGGCCTATCAAGAAAGACCCATCTTCGATGAAACAAAAATCCTCTTGTCCGCTCAATCAATACGGTAATTACATTGGCCTCTGTGCCGTGCGCTAAGCCTTCAGCCCTTCAGCGCAGCCCCACCATGGACATGTCCGCGGACGACCCCGTAGAATCGGACAGTTCCACCTCCGATTGGCTGCACTGCCTCTGAGATTCTTGGTATAAGATGAGAGAAGGGCGACTACAGAAGTCGAGACTATCAGACCAGCTTCAACAACCCGACAAACGCCTTTATCGAATACACTAGTTACTCGCCTTTTGATACCTCATCAAAAGCTTTTGCGCATTTACACCGACATCATGATGAACTGTCACAAAGAACCCGAGTTCCAAATCCGCGATATCCCCAGTCTTCGGGGCTACATCGCCATCGTTACAGGCGGTAAGTCATCAACTTAACACTTACGGAACTCACCACTGACTATCTAGGCAACTCCGGTATTGGCTATGAAACAACACTTCAACTCGCCCTCAAGGGCGCTAGAGTCTACATCGCCAGCCGCTCAAGCGAACGCGTCAACAAGGCTATCTCTGAGATGCGACAAAACAGTCCCGACTTAGACCTTCACTTCCTCAAGCTAGACCTCCAAGACCTTCAGAGCATCAAAAACACCGCTGCCGATTTCATGAGTCGCGAAAATCGCCTTGATCTGTTGATTAACAACGCTGGTGTAAGTCCCAACCGAAGCCTTGAGAGTTATAACTAACGCAGTATCAGATCATGGCCAGTCCCTGGCAATTGACAAAGGACGGCTTTGAAGTCCAATGGCAGACATGCTTCCTCTCCCATCATGCTCTCACAATGTCGTTGATGCCTCTCCTCGTCGCCGCCGCTCAAACCAGTGGACGCATGGACCGTGTGAGAGTCGTTAACGTTGCTAGCGACATGGCTTTCAGAATGGGACCGGAAGCCATCAATTATCAGGATCCCAATCTCACCGATGTCACTGGACAACTAGCACCATGGTAAGCAATCCAACTCAGCTCAATCTTCAGTCCAGCTTGCTAACCTGCATCAGGAGAAGATATGGCCACTGCAAGCAAGCCAGCATCATTGCCGCCAAAGCGATTACAGAACGCTACCAACCTCTCGGTGTAACAGCTTACTCTCTTCACCCAGGTCTCATCAAGTCCGGTCTGCAATCTCACTCGAACAACATCTTTGGAGCCATGACACGTGTCGCCATGAAAGTCGGCCCAACATCCACACCACTCGAAGGATCAATGAACTCGCTCTTCTGCGCCACAAATTCGCAAGCCTACGAGCACGCTGGAAGATATTACGTTCCGGTTCAGAAGCTGGATGACAAGGCCAATAAGTGGTTGGATGATCCTCAGGCTGTTGGTAGGCTTTGGGACTTGGCGAGCAAACAATTGAAGGAGCACGGGTTTGTTTTCGAGGACTTGCCTCGATATTATGCATGATTTTGTGGTTGAAATATTGCTAGGACTATAACAATGGTAGCGCTGAATGTTTATTGACTGATATAGAAACATATGTATGGAAGCAAAAATTATTTGACATGCTGGTGCTTCACGCATTTCGCTTCTTTGTCCGCTTCGCTATGTCTCCTACAAGTTCAGCATTAAATCTTGCTGGGGAATATTACGTTGTAGTCACAGACGTAGTGAAAACCACCACTGTCTCTCCTGCCTTCAGTACCAGCATGCGCAAATGATCTGATGTAAATAAACTTTTCCCAACGCTGCACAGTCAGCGGATATCTATGCCAGTAAACCCAAAAAATAGATAAGAACATAACACGGTTTCGTGGTCTAACGGTTATGACTGCGGATTCTGATTCCGCCAGCGAGGGTTCGACTCCCTCCGAGACCTATTTTTTGACATTTGTTAAAATTTTTAACTGCGCACCGCGTCTATTTAAATTTTCAAATTAAATACTTGCTATTGCTTTTACTTTCATCTTTCTTGTCTTTAAGCCTTGATACGAGTGAACTCTGCCTTCGTATATGCGTTATGCTGCGCAGCAACATATGAACAGATGGAAAGTAAGTACAAAGCTCAATCTCAAGTATCCGAAACACTTTATGTAGTGGAAATTCTTTTTTATCTTCGCGAATATATACTGTTGTCACCTGTCCCTCGCTTTCTTATTAAGCTTTCTCATTGCCACGAGAGCTCTCTCGTGGCAAGGCAATGTCTTCCAATTTGACTTTTACTGCTTCTTCTCCGGGTCTAATATAAATGCCAAGTTTTCTCATGCCATAAATACTTTTAACTCACTAAGATCACCCCAATTGAACCTCTTAACCCTATCTCTTAACCATGAAGTCCAGTCTTCTCGCTTTCGCGGGCATGGTCTTGGCCCTCCCTACTCTGCAGAGTAAGTTTCCCAAGTCATATATTTCTGCTGCTGTTAGATATAATGACTCGACACGCAGAGCACTCCAACACAATGAACCAGTGATTTAGGGAATCAGGCAGCTCGAAATGAAATATGGGCTAGATAAGGGGTATAATGGTGAACTGAGTTCAAGTCAATCGAGCATAGAAGTCACTCGGGCCAATACACTAGAAAAGCATGCCGAGTGTCTTTGTGATAATTATCCCATAAGTCCCAACTGATGTTTTTGGGCTCGTTGTATAAGCTGATTTGTTAAGCCCGATTCGCGAATATAACGTATCGCCGATAATGTGCTCTGGTCTGTAATCATTCCTGGACATTACCTGGGATGGTCCTGGACACCCTTTGACCCAAGACTTCTCTTAATGGGCTTCTTGCATGAAATATTTGTCAGCTGGCGTCGCTACAGTCCTGCTTATGGACGATGAGTAATGCCTTTCGGACGAATTGGTACCCCTCGTCGAGCCGGAAATTCCTGCCACGACAAGCCAGCCCGAGCCAGGGAATGACTACGATTCATCATTTAACCCGAAAATTCATATGCACTATTGGACACCTGCATTACAACACCTCCATTCTAGGCCTCCACAAGCTCCGACCGAAGAGATGCTTAAGTCCGATCATGGATAAAGCCGCCCCAGAACTTGTCCATATAAGCGACTAACGATCACGTAAAGGCTTTGACACCTCAGGCAGATGATCCCCGTTGAAAATCCATAAGTCACCATGTCTCTTATACTCAAGAACATCATGCCCCAAGCTTTCGGCTGCAGAGATCACATCCAAGACGACAACAAGCCCGCCATGTCTTCAGAACAAACCTTCCAGCGTCATGAGATCCAATCAGCCCGCAATACTGTAGCTGGAACTATTCTCGACAGACATAGTACTCGTGCATTTTGTACTGGTCAAGCTGTTCCCATGTCTGTTGTTGAGGATTGTTTCAGTATTGCTCAGCATGCGCCTTCATCAACGAATATCCAGCCGTGGAGAGTGACTGTCGCATCTGGTGAGCCGCTGAAGCGCTTGTCTGCTGCGCTTGTTGCTGCATTTGAGAATAAAGAGGAGCTCAAGATTGATGCTATTCCTGAGTCGTATAATCACTATCGCTCGGAACTGGGACATCACGTCTATGGACCAAATGGATACAACATTGCTCGCGGAGATACAGAGGCAATGACAAAAACTCTCATCGACAACTTTAACTTCTACAACGCGCCAGTCGTCGCTGTTATTTCCATTGATAAAGACCTTAAAAAGGGCGATGTTCTGTCTGTGGGTATTTATCTGCAGACACTTCTTTTACTGTTGACGGAGAAGGGATTGAGCACGCAAGTTTCTGCTGCGCCAACTGGATACCCGGACATCATCGAGAGGGAGCTGGGTATTGATGAGAACTTGGATATTCTTTGCACGGTTGGGATTGGGTTTGAGAATAAGTCACAGCATATTAATTCGCTGAAAATGCCAAGGGATGACTGGAAGCAGAGTGTCAGATTTGTGATGGAATAGCGGAGTCCTGTCGTGTTGGGTTAGTGGTGTTATGCTTCTTTCTTAGCGCTTTTAGCAGTAAATGGCCTGGGCTGTTTGGTTCCATTCTGGCGCTTCCCCAAGTGACTGGCCCCTATTTGTTGTTTGTAAAGACCTCGTTTTTCTGATACATTCGTTCTGTGAGTCCTTCCGAAAATTGAAGTAGACAAATCGTCTCGCTCTTGATGCTGATCTCCTTAATTCAAGGCAAAAAGACTTGGCATTGACCGGAGTGTTGACATAAACGTCTCTAGTGCTTACGTCAGAAACATTTGGTGTTTTGACGATGATCATAGCCTCAGAGAGCGAGGCACATAACAGCCCCGCATCTTCACATGCAGCAGGAGACAAACTTGGCTTTGCAGGTTACTCAGAAGGTTCAAGATGGACAACTCGTGTGAGATCCCTCAAGGGAAGGAGATTTCCAGCGGCCAAGTCAACGATGACCTGCCGACTGTTGAGGCACTAAAGGTCGCCGATGGAATTGAGGTCCTTGATGGCAAGGGAGAGAAGCATACCTTCAAGAGCATCTACAGCGGACCTGAATTACCCCGTCGAGTTCTTGTTGTCTTTGTTCGCCATTTCTTCTGCTGCGTAAGTTCCCTACGCATGGAATAAACCCAGCTAACACCATCAGTCATGTGTGAGCTACACCAGCTTTCTTGCCAAAAACGCAACTCCAGAAAAGCTAAAGGAGATCAACACCGAGATTGTGATAATAGGTCACGGAGATCCTAGAACAGTTGACATGTATCGCATAGACACGGGCTGCGAATTTCCCATCTACACTGATCCTTCTGAAGAGCTGTACAAGACGCTGGGCATGATTCAGACTTGGGAAGAGGGGCCTCCGAGTAAGTATATTCCGGTCTCGTCTTTTTGGAATGCGTGGTTGTCCATGAAGAATGCGTTTTGGAAGTTACTGGAGGGATATCCCGTGTGGAACTGGGGAACCACGAATCAACAGGGCGGAGAGTTCTTGTTTGTTGGGGAGGGAGAGGATAAGAAAGTGACGTGGTGTCATCGGATGAGGAATTCGAGGGATCATACGGATACTGATGATATTTTGGAGGTGTTGGGACTCAATAAGTGAGGATGAGCTGGTGATACCCAGGTGTTGAGCATGGGGTCGTTTGGCATCTTATGTAAAGGAGAGTGCATGAGAAGCCAATCATATACGACAAATTGAAAGATGAATCAGGTGCAATGTCTCTTAATAAATCTGCACGCTACTCCAAAGCCTTGTAGCATTGGTAGCTTGATGATAGAAGCGAAATTGAATGTTTGATGGGATATTCCTGCAAGGTATTTTTACGAGTATTTCGCCTTACAAAGACGATCAGTCGTGGAAGAACCGGGAATGAGACCTCATCTTTCCCTGATGGATAGGGTTGTTCACTCACAGTATTTGAGAGAATATATGTAGACATGGTTGACCAATAATCCTCGCTTCAAGCGACTGGCTCCATGTCGTATACTCGCTCTGAACAAGCTTGCTAAGCGAGGCAAAACAACTATTAACGCCGCAGAACACCGCCTCGGACAGACTCTCATTATCCGAGATCAAATAGTATTGGCTGAAATCCGGAGAATGCATCATCGGACTTAAGAAACATTGATCTCATTGGTAATAAGGCTATCGCCGAGTAAGCTCTAATGGATGAGGTGGATCCGGCGAAGATGGGGGCTGAAGATGACATTTAAATGCTGACCGACGTCTCCCAGCCATTCATCTTCGTAAAAATCTTGTTTGGATTGATACGAAGTCATGGAGTTTATTGCTGCGGGTGCATCTTGGGCGCTGGGCAAGGCACCCTCGCCGCAGAAAATTCTCGGACGTCTTGGTCTCGCATCGCTTGTCGCGCAGAATTCATGGCCAGAATTATCCTCAAAGCTCTCACCGCAAGCGTCGATCGTATTGCCCGATGACTCGTCATTCGGTGGTCTTGTTAGTAGATGGCGGGATTGGCATGGACCGCAGCCTGGAGCAGTCGTGAGAACCTTCTCCGAGAGCGACGTGCAAGAAACTGTAAGGATGATGGTTCTGAGAGGAGAATCCTGCTGACATGATGCAGATAAGATACGCGAATGAGCATGGCATTCCTTTTCTCGCCAGATCTGGTGGCCATGGAGCAACTGAAGCACTACAGCTGGCCAAGGATGTTATTGTCGTGGACCTGCGAGATCAAAACGATGTTAAGGTCTCAGGAGATGGAAAGTCTGCGAGGATAGGTGGAGGCGCGAGTGTGAAGAAAGTCGTAAATGAGCTTTGGACAGCTGGAAAGCAAACAGGCAAGTCGACCCCTACAATTTGGGGCTCAAGTGCTAATTCAACCTTTAGTCACCGGTATCTGTGAGTGCGTTGGCGTCTCAGCGCCCGTCCTTGGTGGTGGCCACGGCTGGTTGCAAGGCCAATACGGCCTCGCATCAGACCAAGTCATTTCTGCACGAGTTGTACTCCCCAACGGAGACGCAGTGACGGCTTCCGAGGACTCGAACTCTGATTTGTTCTGGGCTCTTCGTGGAGCAGGACATAATTTTGGCATTGTGACGGAATGGCAGTACCGAATCTACGACATCAACAATCCGAAGTGGTCTTATGAGATTTATATCTTCCTTGGAGATAAACTGGAGGATGTTCTGGAGTTGACGAATAAGATGATGAAGACCCAGCCGCCGCATTTGACTCACTGGATCTATATCGTCAACATTCCTGAGATTGATCCCAATAAGGTGAGTTTCTTAATTCGAGCTGAGAGGTCTAGCTGACACGGTGCAGCCAATTATTTGGTACGCTGTCATATCAGACGGCCCTGCCCAAGAAGCGCGAGACTACGCAAAACCACTACACGACCTCGGTCCTATCAACGTCGATGCCGGCGAAGCTTCAATGCCTGAGTTAGCCGCCATCACCCTTATGGGCGATGATACCGTCGGATGCGCGAAGGGCTTCACTGGTCTCCGATACCCAATTGGCCTCAAAACCTACGATCTCCTTGCCGTTCGAAAGGTCTTCAACGAAATCGCCGACATGTCGAAGCGCGTTCCCGAGTTCGCTGGTTCATTCTTTCTTCTCGAAGGGTACTCTACACACGGCGTCAAGGCAATTGATGCAAAGAAATCTGCGTTCCCTCACCGCGATGATGAGATTCTTGTCACACCTTACATTCTTTACAAACCCAACGCGACGCTCGACGGACTTGCGCAAGAGCATGGAGAGAAATTGAGGAGGCATTTGCTAGAGGCTAGTGGAGACCCCGAGCATTTACGCGCATACGTTAACTATGCTCACGGCTTCGAGTCTCTGGAAGAAATGTACGGCCACGAGCCCTGGAGGATCGAAAAGCTCAAGACCCTCAAAAAGAAGTGGGATCCCGAGAACAGGATGAGATTTTACGCACCGATCATCTAAGCAAGGCATTCTCAGCCCTAAAAGCAAGTGTCAGCCCTATGCTGAAACCCTGGCAAATCTCACACGGTCTCACCGAATGGAACAGCGGGCCTGCGAGTAAGGCGTACTACAGACCAGTACTGTACGCAGATCAATAGCCAAGACTGCAGGATAAAGAATCACAAGCTCTTGTGCATAATAATCATCGTCGAAAAGAGTAGCCAGTTCGTGAGGCATTCACGTGACGTAAGCATCCGCGTGTCTCTGACTCTGCCGCAGTGCAGGCGCTAAGCAATCTAAGCTTAAATTACCTATCAGTGGAGGTGATTCTCATCCTGATTTACATAGATTGTTTCCTCAATTTTATTCCTTAAATATCAAGAAGAAAGACTTAACCAAGATGCAGCAACAGCCTGTCCGAGCAACGTTGTCGTGCAGTTCCTGTCGACAACGAAAGTACGCCGCCTTTTCTTGGCACCGATGACGATGCTGACGAGATGCTCAGACTCAAATGTGATCGCGATGAGCCATGTAGCAATTGTGTTGCGAGAAATGTCTCGTGTCAATACGCGCCATGGCCTCGAGGTCGTGTTGCTGCTCAGAGAAGGGACAGCAGACAACATGATCTAAGTGATCGCGTGCGCCACCTTGAGCAACTCCTGGGCTCTATTGTCCAACAGCTTCCGGCTCAGCAGGGGACATCCAACGGTTCACCCAGTATTAAGAGCCCGGCGAGTACTTATGTAACAAACTCTCTGGCCACAGGATCCCACCAAGGGTCTCATCAGTCCTCTCAGGAAGGCTCTGAGGTCAAGCCTGGAAGGATGATGGCGAATCCGAATGAGACAATTTATGTTTCTAGCAGTCACTGGTCTGCTATCTGTCACGAGGTGAGTAGCTATCCAACGTAGAGAGCACTTCTGATACAAGGATACCCCAGGTTGAGCATATTCGCGAGCATCTGGACGAGAGCCACGAAGCGAGTGATTTGGGTATTGTTGATCAAGCTCAAAGTCAAGTACCGCTGCTTCTGGGACCGGGAAGACTGGCTCCGAGCCTTGAAGACATTCTTGCGGATGTTCCTCCGAAACACATCACGGATAGACTTGTGTCTCGTTATTTCACCTCGACTCAGCCGTCAATCTGTACGTCTAACTATTGATCTACAGTACTGTCACTGACGTTTCGAAGTGATCACCCATTCAGGAGAGTTTGAAGGCGAGGTAAGTTACGTTTATACCTAATCTTCTCCTCACTCATTTTCTTCTAGTACAAACGCTTCTGGAATGACCCCAACTCGGTATCTGTTCAATGGGTTGGGATGCTCTTCGGCATTCTGGCCACTGGAACATTCCTGTACATCCGATCACAGGATGAGCTACCTGGAGGAATGGGCTCGCCTCTTGAGGTCGCAGAGTCCTTCCAGCAAAGATGCACCGACTGTCTTATTCTTGCCAAGTACTCTACAGCGCCTGGTAAGTATACTCTGGAGACTCTTCTGTTCAATATCCACGGTGAATTCGTGCGCCGTCGAGACGCTCATCTCGGCGTGTGGATCCTTACCGGTATTGCTATTCGTTTGGCTATGCGGATGGGATACCATCGTGATCCAGATAACTACCCTCGGATTTCACCGTTCCACGGCGAGATGAGGCGTCGTGTATGGGGTGTTCTCCAGCAGCTTGACATCCTGACTTCTTGCCAGCTGGGCCTGCCATCGCTTATCCAGGAGTCCCAGTGCGATACCCGTCTGCCGCGCAACATAAATGATGAAGATTTTGGCCCTGAGTCCACGCAGCTTCCTCCACCAAGACCTGAGACGCAAGGTACTGGCGTTTTGTACACCCGTGTCAAAGTCAAGATGATGACCATCTTCCGAACTATTTTCAACCAGGTCTCACTTGGCAAGACAGAAGACTACAACGAGATCATGGCTCTTGATCAGAAGCTTCATCAAACGCATCAGTCCATGCCCACTTGTTACAAAATAGCCAAGCTGGAAGATTGCTTCATGGTCCCGCCGTATCTACTCATTAGGCGATACAATCTTGAACTTCTCTTCCAGAAGGCAAGATGTACACTACACCGCCATCACATGACAAAGGCATACCATGATCCCAAGTACAACTACTCGAGAACGGCTTGCGTTGACTCAGCGATGACAGTCCTTGGGCACCAGGCTAGTATCCTGAAGGAGGTTCAAGTTGGTGGGCTATTATACAATGACAGATGGTTTCTCACCTCTCTGGAGAGACATGACTTCTCGCTGGCATCTATGGTGGTCTGCGTGGAGCTTGGTATGCCGCCAGAGCAACAGAACCCAGAACTCGTGGGATATACTCGGGAGAGTATGATCGACGCACTTAAAACCTCGCAGGCATTTTGGGCAGCTATTAAGGCCGTCTCTGCTGAGGCAAAGCAGGCATATGATATGCTCACAGTGATGTTGAAAGCTGTCACGACTGGTTCGAAGGATGAGTCGATGCCGACAGCTGTAAACCAAGAAAAAGCCCCAGCTCACAATGGCAACGGCAACGGTAACGGTAAGACTGATGCTCGAAACCATGTGATTTGTAGACTGACAATGACAGGGCACATGAACGGGCAATACAATACGAGCGAAACTCCTTTCTCGACTGACTTTCAGGGCATTGAGGCCATGCTGAATAGCTCAGATGGTGTAGACTGGGTATGTTCCTCTGTAACGAGACAGTGTTCCAAGCTGACGTGTTTGTCTTTCTAGGATATGTGGGAATCACTGGTTCATATGCCCGAAGATTTCTCCCAGTATGAAATGCCAGAAGGGCTCTGAAACCAATGCGATTGTCATTTTTGTCCCATGTTTAAGAAGGCGAGTGGTGTTGCGCTTATTGCTGACAGATGACGCAGCGTGATGGTTAGCGGGGTTTGGTGTAGCCTAAATAAAATTTCTCATGCATCTCTGAGCTTCACTCGATCAATTCTCGTGCGACACTCAACATCTACTCAATCTGTGAATACCTCTCTCAAAATCTCAATAAGTCATCAATATGCCTGCTCAATTAGTCATCTTCGACTTTGACGGCACTCTTTTCGATACCCATCAAGCCATCTCTCACAGTATCAAGCTCACCTTCGACACACTCCTTCCAGCCTCAGCTCCAGCAGAGTCTGAGGTGCAGAAGTTGATCAGTTCTGGCTTGGGTCTCAAGGAAGTTCTCAAGGAACTACATCCTTCTCCCGACTCTTTTGAAGAGGGTGAATGGACGTCAACGTACCGTCGCTTCTACAATGACCAGGGACAAGAACTTGTCTCGGCATTTCCTGGGGCTAAAGAACTTTTGAAAAAGTTGCATGAAAAAGAGATTTATGTCGCCATCGTCAGCAACAAAGGTGTAGCCGCGGTTGAGACAGCACTAAAGAACAACGGCATTGACACCATCCCGCAAGACTTAATCGTCGGAGACAACACCCCTGGCGCAACGCGAAAGCCGGACACTGGAAGCTTCGAGAATGTTTTGCTCCCGGCCCTGAAAGCTCGTGGACTCTCACATGTTGACGTTTTGAAACCCTTAGTCGTTGGGGACACAGAGGCAGATGTGAAATTTGCCGCAAATATTGGAGCCAAGTCTGTTTGGTGCAGATATGGATATGGGGAAAAGAGCGCATGCGAGAGGTTGAAGCCAAATTTCACAGTGGATTCATTAGATGAGGTTGCGGGAATTGTTGAAAGGATGTGATTGATCAAGATTTCGCCGGTTGGGCGATAAATCTTCATGGAAAGTAGGAGACTTTCAAAATTGGTGGGCTGCGCGGGTTATCATATATAAGTTGTACTTAGAGTTCAGCTTATCGACCTTGAAGCCCTGAGGCGAGAGGCGAATCCTGTGCTCTCTTCATGAAAGCTTATTATGGCAGCTTGAACCATCAGATGTGTTATTTGCAGTTGAGATGTGTCGCTGAGAGCTTATTACCATCACGTAGAACTTAGATAGGTAGCTGGGATTCAACAGAACAAGGCGGATCGATGCCCAGGCTGCAAATTTCTTTAGCCATCAAGTCCAAGTAAACATCTCCAGATGCTAATCAGGGATACCTATCTCTGGTCTCATGCTCAGCTCAACTTCATTACTTATCATGTAAGTCACGTAAAAAGTGATCTACATGGTAGCCCTACGTAAACATCTTCATTCAAAGGGCAAGGTGAACAGCGATTAAAGCCCCCACCAAAGCCCAAATTTGTGCTCATATTTCCTCAAGCCATTGCCGCTTATAACGACGCGCCACACAATTTCCCCCAAACCGCTTTTTAGAGGAGTATTTGATTGATGTGAAAGCTTATAATATCTCAACGAGATATATCAAACCAATATAATAAAAAATTCCAATTAACTAAATCTTTTAAAAGGCAATATGTACGTAGACTTAAAAAAGAAAAACCCCTCAGTTTAAACGCGCAGCTTCATATCGGACTTTGGAAACTACTTTCCAGGTGCCCTTGTTCAAAGCCTGTCGTCATGGTATCGTATGTGATCCGACGAAAGTCTAGGCTATCGATCCAACTATTGACCACGAACTTGCCATGAGACCTTTGCAAATTGTACATCATTAAACTTTGAGGTGACTGACAACACTCGGAGCTTCTTTGTGCTTGCAGTAGGCCCAAGATAGACTTCCACGAAACACAGGGATACTTTCATCGCGAAATATCAAACTTAGAAGTCCGTCCCAGCTGGGTATAAAATCCAGGTCTTCCCCCCTTTATTTCTTTCCTTCTCTCATCAACAAAACATCACATTCTGACTCCAATCTCCAAGTCACTACAACAAAAATGTTCTTTACTATCATACTCTGCTTCCTCGCCGCTACTGGAACAGCCCATATAGTCCCCGAGATTCTGGGCTACCGGACTATATGGTCGGACAGCTTCGACGGAAGTGCTGGCTCTCTGCCAGATACTTCCAAATGGAACATTCAACAATGGTATAAGGAGCTGAACGGCGATTACCAGGAGTACAAGGCTTCCCCTAACAACGTCCATGTCACTGGTGATGGTTTCCTTCGTATCATCCCGAGGCGCGACCTCTCTGCTCAAAGAGGTTGGACATCCGGTCGTATCGAGAGCACGTACACCTTCACCCCGACACCTGCTACCAAGACCATTATCCAAAGTTCCATCCGTCTTGGTGATGGCAATCTTGATAAGAAGCAGGGCATCTGGCCTGCCTTTTGGCTGCTTGGTGACAGCCACCGCACTGGTGGTCCCTTCTGGCCTGAGTGTGGTGAGCTCGACATCATGGAGAACGTGAACGGCTATCTATCGACCTATGCCGCTATTCATTGTGACAAGACTCCTGGCGGTATCTGCAAAGAGAAGGAGGGTATCTCCGCGTCGGTCCATCTACCAGATGCGGGTACGGACTGGCACACTTACAAAGTTGTCATCGACCGCACCCCGAGGCGCTGGGAGGACGAGACTATAGACTTCTGGGTCGATGACCAACTCATTCAACAGGTCAAGGGTAAGAGAATCGGCAATCCGGACGTTTGGAAGTCTATTGCCCGCAACAAGATGTTCATGATTTTCAATGTCGCTGTTGGCGGTGACTGGGTAAGATGAAATTTTCTGCATGAAAGACTTGGGCTAACACTCTGTAGCCGCAACCGCCACAACTTGATACCATAGACGGCCTCGGGGCTGGTATGGAAGTCGGCTATGTTGCGCATTATGTGAAAGAAATTTCAGAAGAAGATACACGCTTCAGGATCGAACACTATTATGATAAGGATGAAGACCTTCAGGCTCTATACCCTGATCCACACCCCCCGGAAAACCCAGATAAATACTATGTCCCTCCCCCACCCGATTACCCCAAGACGCATGGCTACCCCATGGACAGCTACAACTATCCCCCTGTCCCTCAAGCCCCGCCTCCTCCTCCTCCTCCTCCTGTCGGCATGCCTCCTCCTCCTCCTGTCGGCATGCCTCCTCCTCCTCCTGTCGGCATGCCTCCTCCTCCTCCTGTCGGCAT